TATCTACTATTAAATCTATATTAAAGAGAAAGATAAATAAAAGATAGTATTTTATATAAAATATAGTTATTTTAAGTATATAGTTATACTATTTAGACTAATTAATACTCTAGTAATCTTCTAAAACTATATATATATTATACTTTATAGACTTCTTAATAACTTTTATAGAATATATCTAGATAATATTCTTATCTTTATATTAGATAGAGATTCTTATATAAAATATATTTATTAAGTACTTACAAGACTTTAAGAAGCTTAAATCTATAGTCTAGGTATTAACTGAATACTACTACTAGAGATAGCTAGTCTATAGAAGAATATTAAATTTGCTATTATAGCTAAATATTAAATAGATATAGAAGATATAGATAGTTAATTAACTAGTAGTAGTTTTATTCTCTTTATTCTAATTATTATTATATTTATTACTATAAAGCTGTTTACTATAGAGCTATAAGTCCTAATACTAGCTAATATTATTATATAGAAATAGTAGAATATAATATAGAGCTAAATATAATCTATAAAAGAGATTAATCTATACTAAAAAGAATTAAGTCTTATCTCTATAGAACTATAAAAGAATATTATAAAATATACTATATCTATAATTAGATTTTATATCTAGAATAATTATAGTTATCTTAGAAGATATAGAAATATTATATTAATACTAGTCTATATCTTTCTCTATAATAAATTTAATATAAGAGGCTAATATAATCTATATAAGTATTAAATAATTCTTAGTCTTAAGAAGCTACTCTCTAATAATTATATAAAATAGAATATATAGATTAATATTCTATAATAACTTAATTAATTAGTCTAGATTATATAGCTAGAGGATAAGATTATACTAAATCTATATACTATTACTATACTTAGTATTATAAAATCATATCTATATAAACTATAATCTATAGCTATTATTATTTAAAAAAGACTATATTAGTAGAATAGCTTATCTATAATACTAAATAATATAATTTTATTAGCTATATAAATATCTATATAATAATTAGCTAATATAAAATATAATATATTTCTACAGTAGTAAATCTTTTTAATAAAGTATAGATTATCTGAATCTATTATATCTAAGAAATTTTATAGAAATAAAGAAGATATATAGACTAGAAAAAGTATAATATAATTTTCTATATAATATTTTAAGAACTATAGTATAGTCTTACTTAATTCCTAATATTACTTAGAAATCTAGTATTAGATCTTATAATTAAAATATAATATATTTATATAACTAAGCTTATAGATTCTAATAAGACTATAGTAGAATAATTAAGTTTAGAAAACTAATTATTAAGAAATAATAGAAGAATAGATTCTATCTATAGAAGTAGTTCTTATAGATATTTAAGATAGTATCTCTATAATTAGTAAAAGTATATAAAAATATTTTTTTAGTTAACTATAGCTATATAGAACTAGTATAGAACTATTAGAACCAGTTCTAAGTAAGAAGAAGACTAATAGAAAGATTATATAGCTTTAGAACTATCTATATAGATTCCTATATAGACTTAGTATATTCAAGATAAACTATAAATAGATTATAGATTCTCTATATAAAGAAAAAGAGCTATTTCTTTATAAACTACTATACTAATAATCTATAGAAATAACTATAAATACTATAGAGCTTACTATCTATTATATCTAGGCTTTACTTATTAACCTTAGTAGTCTACTATACTATTATTCTATAGAACTGGTTATAAATACTATAGGACTTAATATTCCTCTTATCTAGATTTTACTTATTAGCTTTAGTAGTCTACTCTGCTGCTGTTCTGTATAACTAGTTATAGATACTATAGAACTTACTATTTATCTTATCTAGGTCTTACTTATCAGCCTCAGTGGTCTACCACGCCGGCGATCTATAGAACTAGCCACAGATACAGTAGGGCTTACTGTATATAGCCTAGACCTTGCTTGTTAGCTTTGATAGTCTACTATACTACTATTCTATAGAACTAATTATAGCTAGAACTATATTTACTCCATAATAAAGATTATAGTAGAGAATCTAAGAAGTTAATAGAAGAAAAGAATATAATATAATCAAGAGAAGTATACTTAATAATTAAAATAGAATTTATAGATCTTATAGTTATATAGCTAGCTTAGAACTATAGTAGTAAATATATTAGAAAAATACTATTTCTTATATAAAAAATATAGAGATCTAATAGATTATAAATTTAATTATTTAAAAGAGATAAGATCATATAGAATTCTATAGTATAGATTAGAAGATATAAATAATAGATAATTAGTAAAGTATAGACTAAAGTAGAAATTATATAAACTATAGAGATTATATAAACTATAAAGACTTTTTAAACTATATAAATTATATAGAGATTTTACTTAGAACACAGAGAAATAATAGTCCAAACAACAGCTATACTTATAGTATATAGAGATAACTATAGAAGAGAAATAGTCTATTTATTCTATAAAAAGAAGCTATAAATTAGATAAAAATTTTGTAAAATTCAGAAAATAGCTATTAGAGCCCAGGTTTATTTTTTCTATATAAAGATATATTTTAATTAAAGTATATTCTTTTTCTAAAGATAAAGAATAAACTATTTAGTATAGTATCTAATTCTAAAATAAAAGACGTTTTTTTAGAATAACTTTCCTAAACTGGGACTAAAAATTCTAAAAAAAGACCTAAAAATCCAATAAATAGTTAGATTATCAAATCCTCACAAAGTTTCAGAAAACATTAAGAATTGATTAAATTATTAATTTTTAAACTTCAAATATCAGAAATTGATATTTTCGTATGGTATATAATAATAATAAATATTAATTACTCTATCTAGTATACTATAATTCTAATATAAAGAAGATAAAATACTAAAGAATAAAATATAAAATAAATATAATAAAATACTTAAAGTCTTAACTAATAGATAGATAATATATAAAGTAAAGAGAATAGAGAAAAGAAAAGAAAATAATAAGAATAATATAATAAATTCTATTATTTATACTTTCTCTTAATAGATCTACTTATATAACTATAACTAGGTACTAGTAAATCTATATAGAAATATATATAATTCTATTAATATTATCTATTCTATAAATTCTCTATCTTTTATTACTAGGTCTTTATCTTTTTTAATTAGAATATATAAGATTATCTCTAATATCTAAGCTAGATAACTTGTTCTTATAAAGAAGAGTACTATTTATAATAGAATAGCTACTATTAAAAGTAAGATTATTAAAATAATATACTATAGTAGTTATAAGAGTTATAAGATTATTAATAGTAAATCTACATCTTCCTAATATCTATAAGATACTAATTCCTCTGTAGAAGACTACTAATCCCTCAAGAATCAGTCTATTTTTCAGGATATATGCTACCTTTGTTATTACTAGATGAATCTATGGTGTTTAGTGGTTGATTCCTTAGCTAGTCGACAGGCTTTCTACCCTGACAAGTAGATCCTATCACAAAGATCTAGTTATATATACTAAGATTATTAATTTAAGAGGTATTTAAGGTTATATATAATAATAATAACTATCTTATATAAAATAAGTATATCTCTGAATTAAATAGACTCTTAATTTATTAAGACTATAAATAGTTAAAAGACTATATTCCTACTATCTATCTTATAATCAGAACAATACTTAAAGATATAAGCTGTATAGATTATTATAGTCTATTATTCCTATTATACTATTCTGTACTATTATAATAGATTTTCTTATATTTCTTTCTATTATTAATGATTATGATTTTTACTAGTAATTATCGATAAGTATATAAAATAAATTAATCTAGTCTCTGGTAAATTAATATAGATAGTAAGATAGTAGAGTATTATCTTAATTAGATATATATAGAGCTATAAATGTAATATAGTAGACTATAATATATAAAGCTAGATAGGGTATATATTATAAAGAGAATTTCAGCTATATTACTTTATAAAGTATAGTATTATCTTTTGATTTATATAGCTTTACTAGACTATAAATAGTGTATTAGTATTTAAGATATATATCATTACAGTTTTATCTTCAATTTATATTACTTCTATATAAAGAACTATATATCTTATTTGATTCCTCTATTCTAACTAAAATGATTGATTTGTGATTTTTATGGTGGTAGTTATATAGAAATATAATGATTTACTGTCACACCGCTTCGCTGTCTGATTACATTACTGCTTTTAGACCCTTACACAATCATGAACAACTAAAGCATACATATATATATATTCACACCACAAACCAAGAAGATAGAGAATATATATATATACAATCAGTCTGGCTCACAGCTATGAATATAGTATCAGCTCAGTGTGGGCATTGATTTGATAGTACTCGCATATTTTTACTGATGGACGGTGCATGCTTTCTCGTACTAGGTATCAAATATCCAGCCCACCCTTACCTCAGATAATGTACTACACATAACTAGTAACCCAAGCGGAATCCGGTCGAGCCAGCGCGCTGCTGCTGCTGCCGCCATCGCCTGCCTCCTCCATTACCACCGCAACCACCACCACCTTGCACGAATCATTTTTGAGAGGGTGTCAGGTATTGTGTCCTCAGCTTGTCTAAGAGTCACCTTGCTTGTGTCAACATGTCAGCTTGAGCTCTGCTAGATCTGGCAAATCTTCAACTTTGATCCAGCAGGAGGATATCTCACTGTTTCCACACTGATCCCCCCTCCCTCAAGTCCATTCGCATGCCACCTCGCCATTGACTCAGCTCATGAACATGTACAAGTTGCACTACTAAGGTCATTGTCTCTGCTATTGATGCTGCTTGCAGGCGTATCTGATATTTGACTAGTCTCTTCCAGCGCGGGATGAGTTGCCTCCTTCAATACTGTCTCAGCGCTGTAGTGCTCTGAGTCCGCCATCAACATACTAAAAGTTCTCTGATACTGTATCACCGTTCTCATATGTCCTTTGACGTGGAAAATGACTGCTTTGACCCTTGAAATACAAACCGGCGATGAGGAAACGATTGAATGTTGGGATGATGATCAAGATCTGCAATGTTATGAAGGCTTCCAGCTGCGCGCGGCATCAAGCGCCACCTCAGTAACAAACTCATCGGTTCATCGTTCGGTGCATAGGGACTCTATATCTTCGCGTCGCTCTGCACGTTCTGATCTGGAATCCAACGTCGGAGGTGACAAAGACTGGCAAGTCCACTTCTTGGACAACAATGAGGTGATTACCGAAGAGGCTATTTCATCTGCCAAAATTGCTGGACTACCTCTGCCAACAAACATCTCGAGATCAGCCCTCGTTGGTGGTACCATCAAACGCCTTGGGCGGAGGAAAAACTGGATGAGCACCGTCGACGATTGGGCCGATGATTTGGATTTTCCCAGCGTAGATGATATACTGGAATTGAAAAGTCCAATAGATATGTCTTTCCCCGAAGCGCCGCGACAAGTCAGCTCTGCTACCACAAGTCCGGTCAAAACATCGACGTCGTCCGCATGGGACAACGATACTGCGACTCGACAACAAACAGCATTGGCGGTTTCAACCAATACCCGAATGGATAACGACACGACTGATACGCATGATATTCCTACAATTGAAGTCGCAAGACCTCTTTATCCAAATGGGTCTTCTTCTCTCAGTAACCTTCTGTCTTATAGGGACAAGTTTACAACAGACGATCTCGAGCAGGACTTTGAATTGCCGAATGATGATCTTATGCTCCGATTGACTCCCCGCAACGAAAATCCCGGACCTTTGAGCCCCTCTACAGAAGACTTCGACGTAGACTGGTCTGAAGGCAGTATCGGAGTCAGGTTTGGTGGAACCACGAAGGAGCATCGGTCGAATCCGTCATCTGTGTGCGTTGTCAGCCCGAGTGCTTCCAGCTGTCTAACAGCTGAGAGCGACGACGATGGCCTCGACGATCTCATTATCCCTGAAGAGCCTCTGGACTTGGAATTACACGTGAAAGGACGGAGAGGGACTGTAGATCCAGATACGGCAAAAGCAAGTATGTCCTGTATCAACCAAGCCTCCTCCAAGAGTGACGACTTCTTTTCGGGCCTTGAGATCGAGGACGACGCGCTCTTCGATCCCAAGAGGCTTTCGATTAACCCCAACATCAAGTGCAAAAGCGAATGCCCTCGAAATCCCGTGCGTCACTCTACGGCGGCTATCACATTCACCAATACGGCAGTATCTCCTAGGTCACGGATTCCGCGTCCATCCGGCCCAGATCGCCCGCACTCAACACAACTCGAGACCGTTTCAGAGAGTGGAGCGCCTCTTTCGCGGTTCAGGGCATCAGAGAGCCTAGCCGGGAATCATTTAACACAATCTTCTTTGTCCAGCCATCCTTCCGCTCAACAATTTTCGACGCCTCACCGACGGCACCCAACCCGATTAAGCAAGGAAGCCTCTGTAAGCGAACGTGTCACATTTGGGAGGCATTTGGCATCGAAACGTTCGATGCCAACAATGCGCCATCCGCAGCACGTCGCCACGCCACCCCTAGCCCAACGGCTTTCTACTTATTCTGATGCATCAAGTTCCTTTTCTCACTCTACACATCGTCCTCAAACTCCGGTAGATCGCTTGGGGCACGATATGAAACAGCTATTGCGAAAAGTCCAAGTTCCATTCATCCCTGCTGGAGCATCGGAAAAGCAGTCGCATCATGCGAGTCTCAAGAATCACCGCCAAACTCGTCGACATAATTCTGATGGTACAAATGATACATTTTCCCCCAAATATCCCGCTCCGAGTTCACGGAATCGCCACGATACGCTCAGCAGAAGTCATCTGGAATCTAGCCCAGAGGCTTTGGCCCTTTCTACTAAACGGACTTTAACACGACCAACTCGACGGCGTAATTTTGGGGACGGCTCGGAATTAGCTCTTTTCGATGATTTGCCTACTTCTTCCTCTGCGGAAAGCAGATTTGTGAAACATCCCTCTGGGCGAGGTGTCCCAAGATCATTGAGAAACAGGCTTAGCCATAGTCCCATGATTTCTCCAGATGCAAGAGCTCCAAATTCCCAACCTATCTCGAGTAGCCCAGACATCTCTGCCAGACTCGACAATACTCCGAGGTTTGCACGAGACACCAATGCATCCAGGAATGCAAGGGAACAGCGCATGGCCTCTTTGTCTTCTAGTGCGAAACTTCGCGAGAGTTACCCACTTGTTTCTCTGGGCTCGAATGCAAAAACCTCTACCGTCTCGCGGGCACCTTCCAGCTCAGTCACCACTAGAGGCAAGAAGGCCAAAGCCACCGGGCTGCCTGGGTCCAGGCCTCATCTGATTAAGCCACTGGGTACCGGCGTGCAGGATGTCAAATGTAAGTCAGATATGTTCATCCGGTACGCAACAAGAATAGCGCGGCTAAGACTTCTCTTGTTAGCAATCAACGGCATGCGATACAATCCGAGCTCTTTCTCATGGGAAGGGAACGAGAATTCGATTCGTGCCTTTGAGTCAACCGTACTGAAATCTCCAAAGCCAGTACCCGCTCTTATCACCAATATCGGGGCCATGCAGAACGTGCAGGTAGTTTGCGGTATGGTGTTTGATCCGCGGCGTATGTGTTGGCTTAAGCTGGCACCGTTACAGCCTGGACAGGATGGCTTAATGGCTGTCCAAGATGAAGATGATATTTTCGCTGGACTCGAAGACTTGAAAGAAGGCTCCGATATGGTAGCTGGGCGGTCGTCGGCTAGTAATGAGGAACCGTGCCTTGTCGCAGGTGGAGACGACCGGAGCTACGGTGATTCTTCAGACGAATGGCCCATAACTGAGGAATTCGATGTTGGTCCTGAGTTCATCCGGAGGCAGCGTGCGGAGGAGGATAAATGGAGGCGCAAGGTGGAAAAATGGACGAGACTTGATCGTGCAAAAATCGGGAACGGCTGGAGGTGGGCAATTCGGGACTTGGTAAGATTCAATGGCACTGCCAACGCCCCAGACGTACGCCATGCATGATAGGCCATTGCCCCCGGTTGCGGCGCAGAGTAAGCTGGGTACCTCAAGTTGGCCTATCTCTCGCAGCGATACCAGTCAGTCCTGAGCCTGCTGCCACATGACAAATCTTTTGTCCTCAATTCGCCCGTAACGTAAGGGCCTATAATGCCATTCATGCCTATCGATACGATGTCACGAAGAAAAGGTGTGTTTTGTTCTCAAAAAAGTGGCGAATACTGTACCTACCCACGAGAACAGACATACACCAATTTCCTGCATCTCAGGCAGTTCGTGCTCTCCGAGGGTACCCGTGTCAATTCCATATATCGATCCGATCAATAAATTGTTGGCATGATTCTATCCGCTTTGTGCGCGGTACTGCCAAGTGGTATTTTGTAGGTACAGGACTTCTGATCCTCGATAAACGTAAGGCACCCGTCTGTTCAGGCAATCACCGCGCATCATACAAGTGTGCTAGGGAGTGCTGATTCGTCATGCTAAGACACATGACTTGCGTGCATTTGCATGTGGATTCAATACAGAAGCATAGCTATAGGATGATCCTAGCCAAGTCACGTGGTTCGTATATGGTGCTTGCAGGCTACTTAATTCTTATGAGGTCATTTGCTCGTATGATAGTGTTTCTAATCTATTACTTTTCTTGTCTAGAGAATCGACAAGATCAAGCACAGGAGTACTGGCTTGTCTCTGTGGCTTTCTAACTATACTATGATTGCCCATTGCTCAAGTTGGTAGAGGTCAGGCACGCCAGCAGTTTCCGATATACGTACTCAGTCTGTGGTGTTTGTGTCTGGATCACGATTGAGCCAGAGGGTTTGGGGGGGGGGGGGGGGGTTGCGAAGTGAAAGAAAGAGGAAGCAGTTGTACGGACCGTCTCAAGAGTATTATGTGTGTCTCCCAAATTAGGGTCGTATAAGCTCGGCTGCCTGCCCATGTACTTCGATGGCCCGACCACACTACAGCTACGGCAGGATAGAGCGGCCACTCTGCAAAACAAATCTCCATACTCGATATTCCTGCCGCAGCGGTGATCTCGACTATTACGTTTCTGGTGCTGGGGTACTGTAACCGACGCCCGGCTACATTCAACCTTTGCTGAATGTACACCTTTTGCCCTCACCCTGGTCGTGATCGTCAAATTTGACGGGCCTTCTAAGCGCACAGTATTCTTTCTACCTGGTCTGGGAAATATGGATGCACTGGTGCGCTACACGGTATAGGAAATTGCCTCGTCTCAGCTCCGGGCTGATGCAGTGGCTCCTTTGTTTGCGCTGGCCTGCCCTAATCTTCTCTTTATCTGTCTGTCTTTTCCTTTTGTCTTATGGTTTGAATTTCTTTCTTCTGCTGGGCTTTGCCACCTTGATAACATTTGCCCTCTCCCTCATGTCTTGCTGCATAATTCAAACCTGGTGCGGGTGATGTCAATGGCCCTTGCACTAAGATGCGGATGAACTATGTGTCCACAGTATCGTTGTCATGGGAAGAATTTGAAGCGACTCAATTCCCGAGGTTAAAGGTCCATGATTGACTAGGTCAAGAATAAATACTCCGAACTATGCTTGGGCAGATGGTATGCTCGTGGCGTGCGATGTACGTGCAATTTGATTTTAGGTTTGTACTGGGAAGACCTTCTGCAATGATTGCTCAATTCAAGAGACGACAGCTTGCGACATCAGGAATTGCAATAATGCGAGTTCTATTACTCGTGCATGCAGTGCACTGTACGGAACTTTTCAACAAGAGTGTACGGATACTGGTCAATAGGCTGTACGTGATAACCACGTCTCGCTCTTATTACTACCCCAGTGTTTATGCGCTACGCCTTCGCATAAGTCAACGACAAGAGTATTCAATGGAGTATGCCGACTATAATTGATGGCAGTATGCTTCTAGTTTCAGATTGCAGCCTTCATATGTACAACGAGTCAGCTTCCTACCATCAATATCGGTCTTGCACAGCGGGAAGCAATATCCAGGATCCAATTCCCAGTGAGAAAACTGTGCCCCTGGGGCGGCAGCTCGGATATACAAGGACAAATACACGGTTTGAACGATCATTAGCAGAGCCAGACAGTTATTAGAGCAAAGAAATAATTGGGGTTAAGGCGGAAGAGCAAAAAGAGGCGGGATCCTGGCTTTGGTTGCCGTCCTATAGTCACCCTGGGTTTTTATGCAGTATCCCCGGTTACTTGCATTAACTAGAAGAATCGTCTCATGTTACTCTCGACCAATACGGCTCATACGTCTCTTTAAAGGGCTATTTGAAAGGTGACTAGTCAAACTTGAGGTGTCTTATTGCCTTAGTACCCAATTTTCATGGCTCATGCGCCTTGGTGAACAAGGATTTCATGGAGATCTGGCATCGTATAGGCCGGTGTTTGGTTTGCATACAGAGCTACTTTTGCTAGAGCCTCTTGTACGTGTTTAGAACTGGAGAACGTGTAGATCGAATTGATTCACTCTGTACAAGAATCAACAAAGACCGAATGCGGAGTAAGGCACAACTCCTACTGCCTGGCATAACCTACCTACTAGTTCTCTGTTTCCGTTTCTACCTTGTCAGCCCTTGTCGCCTCACCGTCAACCGACTCTCAATCAGGGTGGATGGTCAATGCTGGCCAATGGAGTGAGCCATTATCGGTCAGGCGTCAAAATGTTTCGTTCATGAATCAACTACCAGAAGGACGCCAATTGGAGTATTACGCCACCTTTATTGACTCGAGCAGTGTCCTAAACGACGCAAGGGAACAAACACAAAGCCAACTCATATAAGAAAGATAACAACATCGAGGGAAGCCAGGTGTACAGTACACAGTGAACCCCATGATCGTGATTAGTGTCATGGTTGCGAGTGGCTTTGCAAATCACAAATCCCGGGACATTCCATACTTGACTACTTTCCCTACATTCGGGTATAGACCTTGTATCTAAAATACGATGTTGCAGATAGCTTCGGTACTTGCCGGGTGAGTGCCCTGCCTTGATCGATCTTGAAGCAAGACATTGGGTCTCGTACTGGCCTGGTAAGGGAGAGAAGGATATTGACGGCCGGGAAGAGACTCCTTTTTGTTCGTAATTCGTCTGATAAGTAGGATTTCTTTCGGTCATGAGTGGATAAAGAAAAGAAAAGAAAGATAGAATGAAGAAGCCATGCTGGGCTATACCAAATACAACTCAGTAAAGTGCTCATTGCGGTAAGTATAGCTTGCCAATGTGTAGTTTCAGGGTCTCTCGCGCAGCTACTGTAGGTCTATTTTACCATGCAAACACGGTGACTACGTCTTTAAAGCTGGTTACTCAAAGGACGCATCTTTACTTTTCCCTATTTCCTGCAACTTTGTCACTAACCCGTCCGGGTCACCTAGGTACTATATCCTGGTTCGTTCCTGTCCAGGTCTATCTTGCGCCTCAGTGTGTTATGCCTTATTGCTTGAACCCTGTAAGTCCTACATCTGATTGATTACCAGGACTCTTATTGCATGTGTCCACTATAGGTATCTGTTCTCGCGCTCCGAGCTGGTGCTTCATGGGTCTTCGTTTGATGTCCTAACTATTTTTCCTGACTGCTCTTGCCACCTGTTGTGCACTTGGCTTGGCTTCATCGGCCATCTCTTCCTGGCTTCAAGTGTGTCCCAGGCCACCAGGAAAACTTCATACGATTGAGAATAAGCAAATGGGGCGTCCTGTCATGTTTACAGTCATACCAGGGACATGATGTCTCTGCAAACCGAAGAGATGGCTGGTCTAACTTACATCCCTGTCAAATAAGCCCTCTTGTTCAGATGCATATCACACTCTCCAGAGTCTCTATCCTAGTCGCACTGGAAGCCGTCATGCCGAACATCGCTCAGAGGAGTCTCAGCAATTCTATGCTTTTCCCCGAAGCATTTAAGTGCCGCTGGGTACCCATTACAGATCGATGCTCAAGCTTCGTTCTTGATTTCATGCGTCCGACAAGGCGGATCTAGCGGAGTGAAATACCAGTCCGATTGCCCCAGTCTTCTGTCCTTGTTTACTACGGAGGATACCTCGTCTGCAGTGGTTGCCCGGATCTCGTGGCCCCATACTCATACGATCCAATTATCAGACAGTATCTTCATGCTGGTGCAGCAGGACCTGCTTTTGGGTAAGAGAAGCGTTCTTTGTGGGCACTAATCAACTTGTTAGCAGTGGCATATCAACATGAGTGGCTTTGCAAGACGGAATGATAATCACGACAGCTACAATTTCACCCCTCAGATTGCCCTTCCTCTTCCATATAGCCACAATGACAGCAATGACTTTGGGGTAACCGAACCAGGGGCGTTCCCATTTGGTCATTCGCCCTTCAATCCATTTACACCGCAATTCTCTTCGCCGTACAGTCACCCAGGCCTATCATCGAGCATACATCATCTGTCCCTGAGCAATCATTCCCCGGCGCATTCAATCCCTTCAACTCCTGATCACGGGCCTCTGCAGCAGCACTCTACACAGTATCTATCTCACCAGCGCTACATCCAGTCGCCTGGCTATTTTACCCTTCGTGAAGCGCTTGGTGATGCGGAAATCGAGGCCCAGGACTCCAGCAATGAGCACAACATGCTTTCAGAACCATTTATACCACCGCTAGAGGGCTTTCCCGATGTGAGAGAGTTCGATCAATTGATGAAAAGGTGCGGTTTATGCTATTTCCCCCGCGAACTCTAATGCAATAAAACGAGACGCTGGTACTTATTAAGTCGATCGCTAGCTACGTCGACGATCTATCTGTCAAAAAGCAAGACAAAGCTCTGATTCATGCCAAAAGGGCACGGAACATTAAAACTGTGCTGTTGGATCCCAAAGATACAGCCATAGAGTCGGCTCAATTCCGGTAAGGGTGACGTACGAAATCCCCTCCAGATGAGGAGTATAGCAGCACTGCGCTATTGTCTCTAGTTTCCACAAATCCATCTTTGCTAAGACCCTATTACGTTAGGTTCTGGGTGAAGAAAATGTTCAAGCTACAAGCCGTCGGCCCTGGAGTGTCAGATGTCAGTGTCTATAGATTATTTCTGGGTTCACCACGTACTTATTTATGCCAGCACAGTACACGAGGCTGATTTGCCACGAAGGGAAACCGGTGGCTATTCGGGAGAAATTGTTTAAGATATTGACTCGGGCTCATCAGCAATGCCAACATGGTGGGAGGGACAAGACATCGGCGCAGGTCCGACAAATATATTCCTGGTAAGTTAACGGAGTATGCAGCCGTGATGGCCTCTCGAACGCCGGCCTTGACCTGCCCACTCACGTACTTTTCTACCTCAAATTCCTTATGCAATGGCATGCAGTCTGACGACTAGAAATCTCTCCACACGCCCAAAGGGTCCCAAAAGAGCTCATTTCACGTTTCGTCAAAATATGCCCTACTTGCCAGGTCCGTCGAGGTGGGTCGCGATTGACGCCCCCTAGTTCACGAAGAAGCTCTCCTCGCTTGGAGATAACGTCGCGCTCTCCGGCTCTCCCATCGCCACCGATATCACGGCGTGACTCCAACTTGAACGCGCAATTGTCGCTGGACAGATCCCAGGCTGATCTGTTCAACCAATTCAACAGTCACGGTAACAATGGCCATTGGATGGACAGCCATAGGAACTTACCAGAGCGACAGCCACTCTCATCGAGTAATTTACGCTCATATGGAGGTGAAGCAATTGCCCATCTTCCGGGATCCGTTTCCGAAATTCTACAGCCTTTCCAGGGCGATATGGCAGGCTCATCACCTTCAGTCGGTTATAACGCAGTTTACACTTCCACTAATGGATCGTCTGGTCAGAGAAGCTGTTAGAATTCAGCGAGTATTAAATATCAAATTATCACTCGGCAAAGCTTTGGAAAGCAAGCCACAACTCGCGATTAGCACGCTGACGAAAAGAGCTTCTCATGTTCTCGAGATGTCTATGGCCACCTTGTCTTGTTTTCTGCTTCTTTTGGTGTTATAGGGAATTGAGCTTCCTGCTGATATTATGAATTTCATGAGCCGAGTTAAGGGTTTGGTTTCGTGAAACCTGTGAAGGCGCCGTCCTTCGGTGATAGAAATCCACCCAACTATCATACGGAATGGTCACCAGTATCAGGAAATGCAATTCCTTTTCATAAGTTTAATTAGAAGCTAAACCAACGCGAATTCAAGATTGATGTGTATGGACACTGCGGCATCGAATATCTTGCTAACATGTGGCTTGATTTTTAGTGATACAGAACTTTGATAGAAAATGAACGGCCGCACTTATCATCAAGAGTGTGGAATGCCGCTGAGAGTAAAGACAGATGTTACGCCACGTGAAACGCAGCCAGGGCTCTTGTTACAAAGCTCACGTCATTCGCCGACAGAGACAAGCCAGACCAGAGCCTACTCTCAGACTGGCAGTGAGAACTTTTTACCCTTCAGTACCCTGGCTCAATGATTAGCAACACAAGGTCTAGCTCATCAAGTTGGACAACTCACTTTGTATAGTAAATGTAGAAGAAGTCCGAATATAGTAATGTCTGAACAATACCAGCAATGACGGGGATTAACTGGAAGTGACGTTCTGCATAGTATCGATAAATCCAGTTCGGAATGTAAAGAGCGCGGTAAAGGCCCAACGCAAAAAGATAGTGTGTTGTAATAGTGTCTGCTTCTCCGGTGCGCTGGAGCATGAAGAGCTGCGGAAGAATGGCAACGGATTCAAGCCATATAGAGAATGTCCAAAGAATCTGCATAACATTTTTAGTAGAAATTTGGGTGATTTGGGACCGGCGCCTGACCTCTGAGACAGTATAGTCATGGGGGTATAATAAAGCCAAGAGTGCACTGAAGCATAGAAGATATTGCACCTTGAAAGTATCGAGGTTTGGATCATGAGTAGGTTTGTACTCGGTGAGCATAAGATAGATGATATAGGCTGAGGATCCTATGAACAAAATTTTGAACGTTGTGTTGTAAAAGGAGTCGGTAAAGGCCCAAAATAGGTCTATAGACAAATACTTAGGCCAAGTAGAATTGTCAACGAGAACGGCAAAACGCACCCAGATATCGTGTGATGAACACCATCAGGTACAGAACCTGCGATTTGAATGACAGCCCGGAACAGCTCTGATATGAAGATCAACGATGTGGCAATGAACACACACATGCTGCGAACTTACACTCGACGACTTCATCTTATGTAGAAGAATGAAAATAGAAGCAAGATGAGAGAAGTCCGCTAGTATGATTAGCGTTGAGAACAGAGAGTGCTCGTTGAGCATGGAGTGCTAGTACCTGACAATCTGAATATATTCATGGTGAAGAATTGTCGAAATTCTCATTCAACCAGGTGACAACTGATGTTTGGGAAAGGAAGGTTATCAGCGATTAGAATCAGGTTACCATGAGAAATTTTCATTGATCTCGAAACAGAGGACTTGAAGATCGTGTCTTTATCAGTACGGAGTACAGTAGCTAGCTTTATGTTGACACGAAGCCGCAAGCTGCGCGCGACCTCAAGAGGGAAGCGCGCCCCACACCTAATGGTACTAGTTAGTAAGTTAACTAATACCGAACCAGCATAACAGCAAACCATATCATTTTTCTATATAACTACCACTATGAAAAATTACAACTTCACCATTTGCTTAAGATAAATAATTAAATAAGATAAAAAGAATCTTGCTTAGAAGAAGTTACCAATAAGATTAATAATCTATATTCTAAATAATTATATTCTTGTAATAGTGGAAGACAGTCTTGAGGATTCTGCCCTGTTGTTCCGCCTTGGGAAGATCTTAGTTAGTTCATCCCGTCTTGGGATCCTAAGACAATCAACAACTTCATTATAATAACATTATAAGAAACGTCTCTATCAATAATATTGATATATAGTGGTATATCTCGGGTGTAGATACTGTATATATTTCTATAGTCCTATCTGGTAACTTCTGACTACTCTTTATTACCTCTATCTTATATTTACTTATTCTTTATTATTACTACTAACTATAGGTACCTTTGGTTGATACTCCTTCTTACTCAGTTGTATTATGATTCTGTTAGTCATCTATCTTTCTATCTTTTCTATCTATCTTTGTAGATCATAAGATATTATCAAGTTCTACTCTTGTTATATAACTAGTAAAGTAAGCTAAGACTCTATACTATATATCTTTCTATGTGATTAACTTGCTTGAGGCGAAGAGGGAATTGATGAGGAAGTTGTTCATCCTTAAGAGGACCTGGAGGGCCGGGAGACAAGTATACAAATAATAGATACTAACACTATAGACAATAATATGGAAAGGCACGGAGGTCTTAATATACTAAATACCAGAGATAGTAGTTATAGTTACTACTATCAAAGAAAAACATATTATTCTCAATACTATATATATATAGATAGGAATTTATATAGATAATATAGATATATCAAAGATATAGATAAGTATATAGAAATAGTCTAGAAATATAGAAATATTAATTAACTTCTTCTTTGTATATATAAACAAGTTTAGATAAATTAAGATTATATTTATAGATCTACTAATTGAATTCTAGACTATATCTAAGCTAATATATAAGATATTTGGTATACATAGAATTATATCTATATAAATATATATATTTATCAAGAATAAATTTAACTTTCTACTAGTCTTTAGTCTTAAAAACTATAGAAGATTTAGATAATTAACAGCTAAATAGATTAAGTTCTTAAGATATAGATTTAAACTATAGTACTAATATAATAGAATAGATTTCAAATATATCCAGTAGCTTAAGATAGTATATATAGTATTTAATATATTTAATAATATTAAAAGAGCTAAAGAACTAAGATTCTAGCTTATAGAATATTCTTAGCTTTTAAAATAAATATATTATAATTCTTATGTAATCTAAAATATATCTTATTACTTTTATTTGACTATATAGATTTATATCTAGTACTTTCACTTATACTTTATATAGACTATAGTATATTTAATAGTATTTTTGATATTAAGATATATAGATATAAAGTCTTAGTATATTTATATTAGTATAAGTAACTTTAGAAAAGTAGTAGTTAATTAAGCTTTATACTATATATAACTTTATATAGTATATAGTTAGTTAAGAAATAGATAAATCTATTGAAAGATATAATAAGATTTAGTTATTATAAAATCTAGAATAGTCTCTTAGTAGTAGTATACTACAGTATAACTTTTAGAGACTGGATTATATACTCTAAACTACTATCTATCTAAAAATAGTATATAGTACTAAATAGCTATTGATACTTTAAGCTTTTAAATAGACTATAGAATATATTAGTAATAAAGTATTAGTCTTAGTTAGAAATCTATATATGAGATATACTCTAAAGTAATCGGACACCGAACCGGCGCGACACCGAACCGGCGGCCCTATCAAAATCCTCACAATCCTTACCACCCTTGACATCCATGAAGCTTTGAGACTATACTACAAAGACTATATATATTTAACTCTTAGTACTTTCAACTGAATACTTTAGCTGATTATATTACTTACCTCTATATATACTACAGCAACTGAATACTTTAGCTGATTATATTACCTACTTCTCTATATACTATAGCAAGTCTGCCAGCATATCTTAGGAGATCTTAATACTAAAGTCTAAATAGTCTTATTTTCAAGCTTTTATATAATCTTAAAGTTTTTTTACTCTATTAAAGTATCTCTATTCTTTATAGATTATTATAAGATCTTTTTCTTCTCTTATTTATATATCTCTATTAATTATAGCTGCTTAACTTAATATTAAAGTAAGATTACTAACTATATTAACTATTCTACTATCTTTTTTATTTTTTTAATAACTTTATATATAATTATTAATAAAAAATCTTAATCTATAAGTTTTTATAGTTCTTTTCTCTACTTTTCCAGCTTATATAGATTACTAGATATTCTTTGAAGATATAATAACTAATTTAAATATAAAAAAGTTAATAGAGTTAGTATTTTTAACTATATATAAAGTTCTAAAAGCATCTTTTAAGAATTAAATAAAACAAGATCTATAGTATAAAAACCACTAAGAATATTAGCTCTAGTAAAGATCTTGATATATATATTAATATAATACTATAAGAAATTAATCTTATTAATTGAATTTTTACTACTATAAATAGCTTTATAAATCTACTAATTATATAGCTTTTTTAATAGTTTAAAGTATATAGTATACAGTATTCAAAGCTTATAATATAAGTAAGGAGATATACAATACATAGTCAAAAGTCTCGGGACACCCGCCTTCCGCATAAATACGCCTCCCTTCAAAACTCAATTACTTTACCATTTCTTTCTATATACAAAAGCCCTTTGGTGTTAAGGTTCTACAGTCTTAGTACTTTATAAATAGCTCTTAGCTTTATAAATAGCTATAATATACTATAGTATTAAAAGAATAAGATTATTTAATATTATTTATAGTATGCTATTCTAATATTTATATAAGGCTTTATTAAAGATCTCTTTATTCTCTTCTTTATATCTATTAAGTCAGAGACTTGAATAATATTTATAAAGAACTCTTTTTAAAAGTATCCAAATATATTCAATTAGATTTAAATTAAGTAAATATAGAGATTAATTTATAATTTAAATTCTATATAACTTAAACTAGTTTCTGATTTTATCTATATAATAAATTAGTATATTATCTTATTAAAATATTATTCTAATTTATAGATTAATTATAGATTATTAAGAGTCTAAATATAAGAAAAGTATATAATTATTATAAGATATATTTAGATTATATTCTATAACTATAAGCTTTATATAGTTATTAATCTATATTCTAGCTTAAACTATTTAATAATATATCTTATTATAGTATTATATATTAACTAATTTATATCTATAATCTTTACTAACTATTTAAAATGTATATCTAGTATCTTTTAAAGTATTTTATTTAACTAAATATTTATCTAAAAGAATTATATTATTCTAAGTAATTTTTTAAACTTATTATCTATAGAACTTATACTATACTTTAGTATCTTTTCTTTATAAAGATATTTCGTCTTCTATTCATATACTTTATAGAGATAGAGAATATATCTATCTATAGACTTAAAGATCTTAATACTTATATTTATATATATTATAGAAATTAAGACTTTTTAGCTTATTTTTAGTAATTAGTAAACTATTAAAAAGATAGAATAATATATAGAATAGCTAACCTTTTAAGATCTTCTACTATAAGATAAAGATTTAACTTAATATTAATTTTAAAAATGTTTATATATATAATAAATTATTAAATATAATATATTAAACTTTTAAGCCCAGTTTAATTAGTAATTACTTTATTTCTAGTTTAAAAAAATTATAGAGTAGATTTTAGATAAAAGTTTATAAAAATAGCTATAATTTATAGTAATTTCAGTGCTAAAAGACCTTATATTGGTGGTTTAGTAGATGATTGAAGGTGTTGATATTTCTAACGCGTCGGGCGCGGAAGCGAAGAGTCCCGAGACTTTTGATTACTTATTGTATAAGATATTTAGATTAATTAGTAATTATAAAAATAACTAAGTTAGTTTTAATTAATCTAAACGTAATAAAATAGGTAACTATAAATTAGATAATGTATTAAAAGATATTAAATATATAATAATCTATCAATAAATAATTTAAATATTATATTAAGAGATTGTATATCTAAAGATATATTCTTAGTTTAAAATAATAACTTAGTATCTAGAAAATCACTACTATACTGAAAGACTAATAGTTTTAGATTAGAAATATAATATAGTTTATCTAGAATTCTTAATATAGCTATAGTATATACTAATATACTAGTAATATAGAGATAATAGTATAAATTGAGTATATTAGACTATAGATTCTTTGATATAGTTTCTTAGATATATTAAAATATAGTAAGAGATATAGAAGATAAATATATTAATTTAATAATATTCTTCTAGATATAGTATATAGTAATATAGTTATTATTAGTAATAATATCAATATAAGTATAGTATTCTAGAGTAATAGACTCCGATATTTTATTAATAACTTTAATAAAGAAAAATTAGTATTTACTAAATAAGTAATTAAAGAAATACTAGTTCTATATTTAAGTTTAAAGATAAAGTTAGATTTAGAAAACTTTTTATAGATTTTAACTAGAACTTAAACTTTAGAATAAGTAGAAATTACTACTAACTAGATTATATATATAGATAAATAGATTTAGTCTATCTTAATTATAGTTTAGATAGAAACTATAAATTCTAAGTATCCTTAAATAATAGTAGTCTAATTTTTATAGTTAAAAATAACATCTTTATATTTAATTATATTAATTCTAACTAGATTTTTAAAATAGAAATTCTTGATTAAATATACTCTAAGTATGATATATTCAAGAGATATTTAAATATTATATATAGAAATTAATAATAATAAGATAAATTAACTAAGATTATTAAACATTTGAATAATTAACTAAATTATAGATACTAGATTAGTATAGTATAGAAAATATATTTTAAGAATAATATACTTCTTAGCTTAATATATAGAACTGATATCTATAATACTAAGAGATACTTTAGTAGAAGTTATTTAAGATACTAATTAAATAAGTTAGATTAGTATTTATAATAGTAAAAGAATATTCCATATTAAGATATATAAAGATATACTTTTAAATATTATTTAAATTAACTTTTATAGTAGTAGATTAGTATATATATAAAGATAGTCTAGATATTATGTCTTTTATATAGTAATTAGATTCTACTATAAAGTTATTATTAATATAGAATATAGTTAGAGTTATATCTAAAGACTTAGGATTGTATATCTTAGTACATTTATATAGTATATTCTTTGAAGAGAAAGATCTAGTATAATTAGTATATAAGATAGAAAAGATGATACTTAACTTTGAAAACTTTATTAAAGAGAGATTTTATAATCTTAGTATTCTTAGTACACTGAATATTAGAAGTCTTAGTATTCTTATCTAAATTATCAAGATAAGAGAAAATATTACTAGTATATGTCTTATTTAATTATAAATATTTTTTTTATATCATAGAAACTAATAGAATTATTAGAAAGTTTATGAATAAATCTAATTAGTAGATAACTTAGATATAATATATAGTTATTATCTATATATTATATAGAATTACCTACATATATAGTCTTATATAGAAAAGTTTAGTTAAATTAAGAATCATTATATTAATGTAAGGAATAAACAATAGGACTTATTCAAAACAATAGCTGTTCAGCCAGCATTACCCACAGTCGCTAATTCATCTCTTGAATTAGGATTATAGACCTATTGACCCTATTAATACGCCTATATAATACTTTTCTTTCCTAAAGAGAAGTTATAGAGCTCTTAGTTCTTATAATCTTTCTTCTTCTTACAGCCCTTGTAGTATATAACTCACAGCCCTCTTAGCATGTGACTAATTAGAAGTCTAGTAGAAATAGGTCTTATTCTATTCTCTAATTAACTAATACCCTCGCAGTAGGTCTTATACTAGTCTAATCTAGTAACTCTTAGGGCTGACACCAGCTATAGTAGTAGTCCAAATCTACTTTAGAAGTTAATTATAATAGTAGTATATTCAGTAGTCTAACTAGGCTCTAATCCATTTCAGCAGGCGAGACTAGGGTTTAACCCTAAACCTTAATCAGATCTAATTACTAAGGGAGAGGCCTACCTGGCCTTATTAAGAGTATAAGCCCTCGCGGATTTGAATTCTCAACCAGGGTGACTGTGGGTAAACTTGTAAGAAATAAATAATAGAACTTATTTAAAATAATAGCTGTTCAGCCAGTATTACCCATAGTCGCTAATTCATCCCTTGAATTAGGACTATGGACCTATTGACCCTACTAATACGCCCACGTGATACTTTTCTTCCCTAAAGGGAAGTTGTAGGGCTCTCAGCCCTTACAATTAATAAGAAGTATTAGAATATTCCTATAATTTGAATAAAATAGAATTTGTAATAGTAGTATATATATTATAATTTTATCATAGTTATAATTATAGTTATTAGAATTATCATAATTATTCTAGTAATAGGACTACTAGTTATACTAGTCTTAAGTCTAGTTGTAATATTAATATAGTTAATCCTAGAGCTAGTAATAATTCTAATCTAGGTCTTAGACTATTATCTAAAATTAATTCTAAATATCTTATCAATTTAACAAATATAAATAGTTATTCTAGTCGCTATTATTATATCTTTAGATATTAGTATTTTTCCAAGTATCTCAGAAATAATAATTTTCTTACAATTATTTTTAACCACTATAAAATATAGAATAGAAATTACTATAGAAGTTATTTTTCTTAACGATATAGACTAAATTTTTCTAGTTATACTATTGTTGATTAAGCTATTTAAGAAAAGTATATATAGTCATTTTTTAATAGATTCAAGTATACTAGTTCTTGAATATAGATTAAGATAATTCTAGATATAAGTAATCTAGTTAAAAGTATTATTTATTTAAACTTCTTAAGTATAATGTACTATATTCTAGATAAATTAGTTAATATATCTACTAGCTTAGATATCAGATAAACTATAATATGTAGTATTTAACTCTATTATAACTATAAAGATATTTAGTTTAAATCTCTTTTTTATTTCTGTAAACTAGCTATTAGTAAGAGTTATATATAATATAAAATACTCCTCTATATTAAATAACTTAGTAGTATATTATATTAGAATAGTATTATAAATATATATTTAAAGATTTATCTTAATTAGAGCTTTTCTATAGTATTTAATAACACCTTTAAACTGATTAAGAAAAATATCAATATTCTTATAATATATATTATAACTAATTTACTTTATTATTTTATTATCAGATGTATTAGAATAGAAGAAATTAATTATTCCTAATTTTATCTTCTTTAGATATATAGTATAAAAGATAAGATTTAGATTATTAGAATAAGAAGATCAATCGATATCTCTAGATAGATTACTAGATAGATTACTAGTATCTTAATCTTGAGATAGTAGATTAGAAAGATTGGAAGATAATAGATTAGTATTATTAATAGAAGAAGCAGAAGAAATAGAAGATATAATATAAGATAGCTTAACTTAATAATTATCTATATTATTTTTAAGAATACTAACATTTTCTAGAATCTATTATAGAATAATACTGATATACGGTTATTCCTATTAATTCTATAGCTGCTGCGGCTAACAAGATATCTACTATATTTAAGAAAGATTAGTATTTATATTTAGAGAATCTATATCTAACATATCTTAATCTAATTTATTTCAAAATAATATTCTTAATCAAAATATATCTAGTAAGATATAGAGATACTAGTATTAATAAATAATTTATCTATTTCAATATTAGATGCTAAATTATATAAATCTTAATAAATACCACTTACTTTATTTATTAGTCTATTAGAATAGATATCTTAAGACGTGTATAAGCTATTATATATAAAGCTAAATTAAAGACTACTTAATCTAGAATATTCTAGATAGAGATATATTCTAGAGAATAAAATAATAAGATCTAGCATCTTTAAAAATATAAGAAAATATATATCTAAAATTACTCTTTCTAAAAGTTCAAAAGATATTCTTAATATAGACCTAGTAGATATATAATAAGACTAGATTTAAAATAATTAGATATAATATAAATAGTACTTACTAGTAATAATATAGTCTTAGTAATTAGATTAGAAATAGAATACTCTAGGAATTATATTATAGAAATAAGAGATATAGAGGGTAATAAAAATATTCTAATTATTATATATAAAATAGAAGATATAGAGAATAGAATAGATAAATATATAGTTAAATATAAGTATACTTAACTAAGTAGTTTATTAGACTTGATAAAATTATCTAGAAGATACTAGAAATAGTTATTATAGTTCTAGTCTATAAAGAATTAATCAGTAAAGAGATAATCTAATCCAGAAAATTAATATGAACTTTTTAAAAAAAGATTAATTAATATTCTAAGTTTATAGATATAGTCAATATTGTGAGAATAAAGAAAACTATATTAAAAATATAATATAGTAAGTATAAGATAATATATATCTTAAGATACTTTTTAGATGTACTGGGCGAGTCTTTATAGAACTTAACAACTTCAATAGACTAGTCCTAATACTAGTATTCATGCCTGCGGATGTCAATATAACTAGTCTAGATCCACCACATACTTAGAAATAACTTTCCGATATGACAGGAAAACACAAGATAATAATATTAAAGATAGAATAAACAATTAGATAGAAAATAGCAAGTAATGAAGGCAGTTAGTAATATTATATAGATAAGATAGATAGATTAAGTAATCCACAAGATGAATAGTAGGGAAAGATAGAATATTACAGCAGCTGGTAAGAACCATGGATGCAAGACGCGATATAAGGAGAATAGATATTAAATCAGGGTGCCCGAGACAGTCAAGATAAATAAGTAATATAGAAAGACGAAAAACAGTGTTAATTCTTTAAACTGCACAGGGAAGGCGTCTGGATAATGACCAAGGACATGCTACCATATGTTACCGTTGTTATTAATAGGGGGATTCATCCTGTTCATTATATTGATCTCCTTGGTGGTGGTCGTGGTGGTAAGACGAAGGGATCGAGGTGCGGGAAGTTCTTCCAATAGATATACTAAATATTAGTTAGTATAGAGATTCACCTATTATAGAACTAATAGATAAATTAATTATTAATATAATCAAGAATAGAAGTATAGATTAATTACTACTATTCTATTTAGTCTAAATAATACTATATTATAGTATAACTTGTATAGTCTATATTATTCTTCTTAATTAACTATCTATCTAAGAATAAGCTATAGAAGTAAAACTACTTTATCTTTATTAAAAAAAAGTCTTTTCTAGAATTTAGATATAAATTATATATTCTAATTAGAAATAAAAGAAATAAGAAATACTCTAATTTTTTATTTAGATATACTTAATAACAACTAGCTCTTATTAATCTATCTTATACTTAGAATTATCTAGAATTAAATTAACTTACTTTATAAATTTATTAATAAGTATAAGTAACTAATTATATTTCTAAATACTTTTTAATAAGTCTATAATAAAATCTATTATAATAGTATAAAAAGATACTAATACTAGAATTAGTTAAAGAACTCTATATAATGAAGACTTCTTTAAATTATTTTATCTATAAGCTAAATAATATAGAATATAATCTTATAGAAGTTTTCCATCTTTATATATAGTAAGACTACTAAGTTTAGAAAGATAATACGTAATATTAATATAATTATACTTATTATAGATAGTATAGAAAATTTCTAATATTATTATATAAAGAATATAGATTTATAACTGTTCTATAATAGAATAAGTATTATTATTCTTAATATTAGGAATAGTCTCTAATCTAAAGTAAGTATTATATTTATTTATATAGAGAATATTATTATATATAAAGTGGAGAAGACAGATATTAGAATTAGAATAAAGAATATTAATAATTTCTAAGATATAGAGATTAATTGATAATTTCTTGATAATTTCTTTCTTAAAATTATTATTAATTTTGATAGTAAATATAAAGAAGATAATAGAAATATTCATAGAAATATCTTTAAGATAATATTTACTTAATATATATAAGTTCTTTATAAGAAAGTTTAGAGAGTATATTAAAATAGTATTAGTATTTCTAGGATAATAATATATTAAAATATTCAACTACTAAATATACTAGCTTATATAGATAGGATAAGGTTTTAGATATTCAATTACTATAGTATTAAAAGAGATTTACTTGCTAATTCTAGCTATACTTATATAGTCTATACAGATAATAGATAACTTAATCAAAACTTATACTAAATGATAGAGTTTTTATCGTTTCTAAATAAGATAGAAAATTTCAAGTTTTATAGATTAGTAGTTTCTTTTAGTAGAAATAAAGATTCTACTTAAAAAAAATACTGGTCTAATCTTAGTATATATAGACGGTTTTAATGAATTAATATCTATAAAATTATTCTTAGATAGATTCTTAAGTATTAACTTTTTAATCTTCTTCTTAATTAATTTAATCTTATTATTATAAATATAATATACTATAATACTATAATTATTTCTTAAAGTATTAAGATTGATAAATATCTTAAGATTAAAACATAGAAGAATCTTTGAATTAGAGAATTTAGTCTAAAATATATTATATATCTAATACTCTTCTTTAGTTATATATAACTATTTTAGATGTATATTCTTATCTCAATTAAGAATATCTAACTAACTACATAAGTATATTTTAAGTATAGGTAGTTTTCTGATTTTAGAGAAGTATAATTTTCTATATATAGTAGTTAATATAGTAAGTATCTTAATTATTAGTTAAACTAAGATAATACTTAAGTTCTAATTATATCTATAGAGATTAAAGAGACTAAAAATAACTTCTAGTTTTCTCTTAGAAATAACAAGTTCTAATATATTAATCTTCTATTCTAGAAGTACTATAGATAAGAAATTGATAAAACTCTTGGTTAATTCTAATTTATTATTTATCTTCTCAAGTCTTCTCAAGAGAAGTTATAGATAATAAATATAATTCTAAAAGAATGTAGATAATATAATAATATTATTAATATAGATATAGATAAATACTTAGAACTTAGCTAGACTTAGATCTATCTATTCTTATATATATAATATAGAATTTATAAAGCTTATAATTACTATATAGAAAATCTTCTAGCTATAATAAGTAACTATAGTAAGATAGTTTCTATATAAAGAGAATATTAGCTACTAATAAAAAAATTATATAGTATTGATAATACTAATATAGTAGTAGCTAATTACTATTTAAGAATCGTATTCTATATAGAAATAGAATATATATTAGATTTAATCATATGATTTACTTCTTATAAATCTATAATAGTATACTCTTTAGATATACTATTAATTATTTTCTATATTATAAATACTAAATAGAATATAAGAATATAGCTCTTCGTATAGAATATCTTTTCTATCTTATATAATAAAATAAATATAGTATTAATTATCTCTTAATTATACTAAGAAATACAATAAATTTATAAATACTAGATTCAAATATAATCTTATTATTCTTTCTTAAGTAGAACATGTTACTATTACTCTTTCGAAATATATATAATTTCTATAAGAGTTTTTAGAATTCATCTAAATATTAAATAATTTAACTAATGTTTTAAACTTCTATATCTTATATTTACAGTTAAGATACTTATAAATTATTATATTATTAGCTATTTTTACTATCTTACTATTACTAGTAATAACTTATAGAAAGGATATTCTATTAATATATTTAGAATATAGAAAACTACTTAGTAAATATTTTTTTTCAGAAAAACCAACTCTATTTCATTATAGATAGAAGCAGTATAACCAGAGATAAATAAAGAAGATTTAGTCTAGAGAAGGTTAGAAGTATTATATATAATAGAGAAAGTTATAATATATTTATTATTTCTTAATATATTAAAACTTAAGTATAATAGTTAACTTTTATAGATAGTGATATATAGTTAACTATCTTAATAAGAAGTTGGTATTAATAAAATAATAATTTAAAGATACTCTAGTATTTTTAGACTTAAAGATATAGTTAATATCTATAAGTTATATCTTTATCTTAACTAGAATATATATCTTTATATATAGAGAAATAATTATTATATAAGTTAAATATACTAGAGTTCTTACTCTATTCAGCTTTATATAAATAAAAATAGAAAAAGTAAAATCTTAATAGAATAAAATATATACTATTTATCTTTTATAGTCTATAATAGTATCTTCTCTACTGAGTATATTAGTCTTAATAAGAAGATTTAACTAAAGATTATCTACTAGATATACTTTTATTATAATTATAGTATACTTGAAATAGATATATCTATATTCTTATTACAAGAGAAATATATCTTAATTATAATAAAGATATTTAACTTATAGAAAGATCTAATACTAAGATATTAAGAGAAGAATTAGTAATTTTAATACTAGTATTAGATATACTTCTTACTAAGTCTATATTAATCATTATAGATAAATATCTAGTATTAAGATATATAGATATATATATGTATTAGTATAGTTAAGACTAATTTTTACTATTATATAAGCATTATATCTATAGTAATTTACTATCTAGAAGAATATTATTAGTATAATAGTTTAATTTTATTATAAATAAGGTAGATTTATACTTAGTTAATATAATAGAAATAGACTTTCTCTTATAGATACTAAAATACTTAAGAAGTTGATTTTTTGATATAAAGAGAGTAATATAGTTATTGTATAGAATAAGATTATCTTTATACTTTTCTTTAATCTAATTTTTATAAAAAATCTTTTATTTTTAGTATTACTTCTTTCTAATTAGTTTTCTTAATAGAGTTGTTCTTAATAACTACTATAGTATATATTATCTTTACTAGATATATGATATAGTTCTTTTATAGAGTTATTATAGTTCTTCATATAATCTAGATTAGACTAGTTAATATACTAAGTATTAGAAGATCTAAAATATAAATTAAAGAAAGAAGAATACTTAGACTAAAACTAATAATTATAGTCAAAGAATAAAGAAGTAGTAAGCTATAAAGAAGATTACTTATAGAATATATAACTATATCTGGAATTAACTAGTATAGTATATAAGTATTCCTAAGAATACTATCTATTACGATTAAAAAGTGAGATTAGATTAACTATAATAATATATATCATTACTATTATTCTTTCAATCTTATTCTTAATTATTTTGTTAATTATTCTACTTACTAGTAGTATTACTATTCTTATTATTATTAAAGTTATTATTTTAGATATTAATTTATTACTATAAACACTTGTTCTATAACTAATAACTACTATTACTATTTATTAGTATATTTAAGAATATCTAGCTGTATTACTGCTAATTATCTTAGTCTTAGTTATTCTAGTATAGTTACTATTAATTTCTACTATACTAATTGTTTAGTACTTACTACTAATATTATAGTTACTAGTATAGATAGAAATTCCTCTATCGATTAACTTACCTTGAAATAAACTACTAACTAGCTGGATTAGTACTATATTTACTATTCTTATTCTTATAGAAATTATTCTTAGATTTAATAAAGACATTACTATATCTTTAATTATTAATAGTACTATAAACTAGATTTTTTTTTAATTATACTATTATTAATTAAGAATCTTGAGGAATTTACTAATTATAGTAGTTTTAAATGGATAAGACAACTATATCTATAAATATAGATTGATATAGTTCTAACTATATATTAATCAATTAAATAGATTATTTAAGTAGATATTTTATATATAACAAATCACTCTCTGAATAAACTATTCTATATAATAGCTAGTATAGAGGTTGGTTAGTCTATAGTATAGATGATTTGACTTATTTATTATTATATATAGAAATAGCTTAAAATACTTAATTATTTCTTTGAATTAGTCTACTTTAAGAGAAACTTCTACTATTAAGTATTTTTATAATTAGTAAGACTAATTATATACTATATAATATAGTCTTATATATATAGATCTAAAGATTGAACTTAGTTATAGCTTCTCTATAATATTGAATAATATTCTTAATATAATCAATATCTATATATTCTATAATAGAATAGAAAAAGTCCATTTTCCTATATTTAAGCTTTATAATATACATAATATTATTAGTATTTATATTATTATTATTTAGTTTTTAGTTATTCTTATTATTACTAAAAAGTCTAGAATTGATACTAATATTTCTAGAATTACTACTACTTTTAGAATTATTTCTATTACTAGTAGTATTCTAGATATTTAAAATAATTAGTTTTTTCTATATTTGATTAAGATAATCTATAAGAATAAGATATATCTAATCTGGTTATTTACTACTATCTATTCTACTAGAATTACTACTATTATCTATACTATTATTACTACTACTAGAATTTATTTTAATACTAATATTCTCAGATTCTAGCTTATAATTAAATAGAAAAGTAGTATAGAATACTTGATTAAAATTAGTACTAGTACTTTAAGAATACTAATTAATTAGATTTACTTTTCTGGAAGAATAGCTTCGATATTCTTAACTTTAATTAAATCTTGGACTTCTAAGTAGACTAAGAAATAGAAAGATACTAAAAGAAGATATATATGTAGAGAAATTTCTTAATAAACTAATAAATAATAAAGATAACTATATACAGAGAGAAAAAAAATAGTAACTACTATCGTACTAATAATAATCTAGATTATATAAATAAATCTAGAATAGTCTTAGAAGTAGACTCTAATAGTTAAACTATCTAAAAAGAGAATAATTTAGCTTATAACTAAGATTAATCTCTATAGTCTTATTCTAGTATAACTAGCTCTTCTCTAGAAGTATATATTAATATCTATACTTAAGAATAGTAAGATTATATGTTATTAATCTAGAATAAATATTTTTAAGAGATCTATTAGACTTAGTAAAGTTAATTAGTATATACTAGAGATATAGATCAATATATTAACTAATATAAGACTTATTACTAAGAAGATATAAGATCTAGTTAAGAAAATTAACTATATTCTTATATAGAATTAATTTATTAATATTCTAGAACTAGAGATATACTTGAGTTCTTACAAATAAAGATAAAAAGATTATAGAAGTAAAATAATAAGTATAGAAAAGAATATTACTATTGAGATAATTCTTTATTCTTATATTTAGTAATTCTATATAGAAATAGAAAAGTTAATGTATGAACTCTAAAATATATAAATAATATCCTTTAGAATAGATAAAAGTTAATAATAATATAGTACTATGAATACTACTTAAAGATACAAATGTAACAAAACTATAATATTTGGAAAAGCTAAACAAATAAAGCTATTCTAAATAAATAAGATTATAAATAATAAGAGATAAATATAAGAAGTAACTCAGATACTTGAAGTAAATATATAACTTAGCAGCTAACTAGTCATATAATAAAAATAAGAATTATTAACGTCTTGTAACCCACAAAACAGATAGGAAAGATAGAAGATAGGCAACTAGTAGAACCACAGTGCGACTGATTGAGAGAGGGAATTGATCAGAAGTATCTATAATCAATAGATAATAATAAAAGAATAAACAACCAAAGAAATATAAAGATAGAAATAATGAAGCGCAATCAAAAGTTACTAGATAGAACTACAGAAATATATATAGTATCTGGAATCTAAGATATACTACCAGATGTCAAAGTTGTGGTAGAAATATTTCTTGAATGTAGTTATCAAGTTATTGATTAAGTTGTTTCTAGGAAGATTCCCGGGAGAGGCGAAAACTAGCTAAGATCCGTCCAAGGCGGAACAACAGGGCAGAATCCTCCTCAACACCGTCAACACCGCCAGCAGCCATAACATATATTATCTAGATCTATCTATATCTTAATTTATATATCTAGTTATATTAGTAGTTTAGCTTAAACTTATTTATAATATTAATAATTCTAAAATATATAACTATATACTATCTAAGCTATTTAAGATAATTAATAAGAAGTTTCTACATAAAGATAATTACTAAAAAGTAGAGACTATTCTTAGTGAATTATAGTGTTCTATAACTAATATAGAATTCTAGTTATTTAGTATATTATATAATAAAAAGACTATAAAGCTAAAAATAATATATAGATATAATTATCTAATTTTAATATATACAATCTTATTTATATTTTTAAGACTGACTGTAACTGAGATATTTATATTAAAGACAGTGTTTCTCATGATTGATTATGACGATGTTAATGTTGTTGATTTATTCCTAAGTCTTGGTAACCGCTGGCAGGGAAGAATCCTGCCTAGGCGGCGTGACAGGCGGCGTCATAACTGCCGGCAGAACATCGGCGAGCTCGACTGCGACAATTTATATCTTATTATTTTTTTCTACTATTATTTATTCTTATAATACTAAGACTATGTATTCTAAATATCCTTTATTATCTATCTTCTATATTATAGATATAGTAATCTCTAAGAATATCAATCTTATATAACCAGCATCCGTAGTAGTCAAGCTTGCTGATGTTCTAGCGGTGGTTATAATGCCGCCTGTCTCACCGTCTGGGCAGGATTCTTCCCTGCCGGCGATGGCCAAGACTTATGAAGAATCAACAGTAACATATTGACTAATCACTATCTTGTGATAGAATAACCTAACTATCGGAAGTAAGATCATCGGGATGACGTCCTACAGTAGTTATGGGAGTTGTGAGGTCATCAATAGCGAACCTACACCTTCCCGACATCTATAAGATGCTGATTCCTCTGCAGAAGACTACTAATCCCTTAAGAATTAGTCTATGTCGTGGATATAGGCTACCTTTGTCATTACTAGACAAATCCATGGTGTTTAGTAGTTGATTTCTTACCTAGTCAACAGGTCTTCTACCCTGACAAGTATATCCTATCACACATCTTTAACATTTATAAATCAATTTATTAGTAGTACTATTATTATATTTGACCTATTTATTCTATTTAGGCTTATATTCCAACCAATAAACTAAGTACTATATACTTCTTAGGAATTATAGTAACTTTCTATTAATCTAACTAATCGAGAAAGTGATTGTTAATAATATAAGACAAGCCTTGGTGATCCTCGCTTCGCTCGGATTGCTGAAGGGTGGGCTGGGCTGCCTTACAGGGCCGGTGGCAGGCTCGCTCGCAGGCTTGCTTGCAGGATTGCTCGTAGGACTGTTCGTAGGGCCGTTGGCAGGCTTGTTAGCAGGCTTACTTCTAGGCTTGCTCGCAGGGCTGTTTCTTTATGGGTAGGGCTATTGGTAGGGCTGTTTTATAGACTGCCTCGCACTTGCGCGCTCGGCCGTAGGACTGTTGGTAGGACTGTTTGCAGGGCTGTTAACAGACTCGTTGGCACGCTCACTTGCAGGCTTACTCACAGGCTTACTCACAGGACTATTCAAAGGGCTATTTGCAGAACTATTTGCAGAGCTATTCACAGGGCTATTCGCAGGGCCGTTTGCAGGGCCGTTCGCAGGACCGTTCGCAGGACCGTTCGCAGGACCGTTCACAGAGTGGTTGGCAGAATGGTTGGCAGGATGGTTTATAGAATGATTTGTGTATAGATAGAATATTAAAATCACATAATCTAGGACTAAAAGTATAGAAGTTTTGATGGAGTAGAACTGCTGACTCAGCCAAATAAAAGTAGAGTAAGCTATTTGTATAAGAAAATATCAAAATTTATATTTAAAAAATCTATAAGAATCAAAAAATAGATATTCTAGACTAAAAATAGTATCAAACTGTACTGAACGATTTGATCTATTTATAGAACTTTAAATTCCTTAGAAATATTGAAAGTTGAGCCTGTAAAGCTTATATATATAATATTTCTCTTTTTTCTCGATATTTTGCTAATTTAGGTAGGTGGGGCTCCGAATATAATATAGGATAAAAGGTAGAATTTTGCTGCGTTAGATAAGCCTATTTTAAAAAGATTTTGAAAAGAATTGACTAAGAAATCAACTTTTTAATTAAATTGTAACATTTTCGTATATAAAAGTAGAGATAGATTAGATAGATATTAATTATAAGAGTCTTTATATAGAGTAAAAATAGATTTAAGCTATAAAACTAAGATTATAGAATATATCTTCTATATATCTAACAGCTCTAGTTGATATACAATACATAGTCAGAAGTCTCGGGACACCCACCTTCTGCATCAAAATACGCCTTCCTTCAAAACTCAATTACTCTACTATTTCTTTCTATATACAAAAGCCCTTTAGTATCAAGATTCTACAGTCTTAGTACTTTATATAATAGCTCTTAGCTTTATAAATAGCTATAATATACTATAGTATCAAAAGAATAAGATTATTTAATACTATTTATAGTATACTATTCTAGTATTTATATAAAGTTTTATTAAAGGTCTCTTTATTCTCTTCTTTATATCTATTGTCTTTTTAAGAGTATTTAGATATACTTAATTAGATTTAAATTTAGTAAATATAGAGACTAATCTATAATTCAAATCCTATATAATTTAAATTAGTTTTTAACTTTATTTATATAATAAATTAGTATATTATCTTATTAAAATATTATTCTAGACTTATAGATTAATTATAGACTATTTTCAAGAGTCTAAATTTAAGAAGATTATATATAATTATAAGCTTTATATAGTTACTAATCTATATTCTAGTCTAAATTATTCAATGTGATTAATCGCTGTATGCGAGAAATAATGATGAGGAAGTTGTTCATTCTACGGAGGGCCTGGGAGCCTGGAAGGTTAAGTATCCCACGCCATCGATCCAGGCGATAGGAAGGCACGGAGGCCTCTATACACCAAGCCGCAGAGGCAGCGGCCACAGTTGCCCTCGCCAAAGAAAGACGGATCATGCTCAATACTATATATATGCAGACGGGAATATTTGAAGATAATATAGATATATCGAAAAATACAAAACACAGAAATATAAATACACAGAAACTGATAGTAATAAAGAATATAATTAGAATCAGTAGTCTAAGATAAATAGTCAGTCGATACTCTCTTCAAAGATATAAACTAGATTAGATGAGTTGAGATTATATTTATATATCTACTGATTATATTCTAGATTATAACTGAGCCAACAGATCAAGTACTCGGTATATATAGAAGCATACCTATATTACTATATATATATATTAAGAATATATTCTACTTTCTAATAATCTTTGGCTTTATTAACTGCGGATGGTTCTAATAGCTGGGAGCCAAACAGATTGACTTCTTAAGGCATGGATTTGAGCTGTAATACTAATATAATAAAATAGATTTTAAATATATCTAGCAGCTTAAGATAGTATATATAGTATTTGATGTATTTAATAATATTAAAAGAATTAGAGAACTAATATTTTAGCTTATATAGATTATTCTTAGCTTTTAATTTAGACATATTATAGTTCTTATATAATCTTGAATATATCTTATTATCTATATTAAACTATATAGATTATATCTAGTATTATAGTTATACTTTATATAAACTATAGTATATTTAATAATATTTCTAGTATTAAGATATATAGATATAAAGTCTTGATATATTTATATTAGTATAAGTAACTTTAGTAGTTTAAGTAGCTGATTAAGCTTTATACTGTATATAACTTAATATAGTATACAGTCTATTAAGAAATAGATAGATCTATTAATAGATATAATAAGAGTTAGTAACTACAAAATCCAGAACAGCCCCTTAGTAATAATATACTATAGCATAATTTCTAGACTAGATTGTATACTCTAAACTACTATTTATCTAGAAATAATATATAGTACTAAACAGCTATTAATACTTTAAGTTTGAAAATAGACTATAAGATGTCTTAGTAATAAAGTATTAGTCTTAGTTAGAAATCTATATATAAAATACACTCTAATTATAGACTTATAGATATACAAGAATTAATTTTTTTTTCTTTAAGTATCTCTTAATTAGTCTTGTTCTAGAATATATTCTAGTCTTTTAGTAGATTTATTAACTAGAATAAGTAACTAATTAAATCTATTATATATAGAAAGATTAGCAGTAAAATTAAAAGTAATAGTATAAAATAGTATAGATAATAAATGAATAGACTATAAATTATTATATAGCTTATATTTAGAAATATAATATAGATAATAATCAGAACAGTACTATATATAGTTATATAGGAGATATTAATAATAGTAGAATATTAATTCTTTCAAGATATTAAGTTACTTCTTTAGATCTTAATAGTATTAATTATTATATATTATATAGAAAATATCTTAGATAAGACCATATAATAGATATAGCTATAACTTCTTACTTAATATAGTATCTTTATCTTTATTATCTTAATATACACTATATTTAAGTATATATAGAAGACTATTATATTTAATATAATAGAGATTAGTAGTATTTACTGCTTTAATATAACTATAGAGAATATATATAATCTTAAATATATAAGAATTTAATATATATTCTTAACTTACTTAGTTCTTAAACTTATTAGATATATATAAGAATATAGTAAATAAATATTTAAATATATATACTATAAATACTTTAATTAGATTCAATATCTTAGTATCTCTATTAATAGATATTCTATCTTTAATATTAAGAATAATTATATCTTCTATATAGTTATTTAGATTGGTATTATAAAATAGAGAATTATCTTCTTCTAAAGAAGATAAGATAGAGTATTTACTATAGTATTTATAATATCTAGTCTATAGTAGATATAGAGAGTAAACTACTATATATATTATAAGATATAAATAAGATATAGATTCAACTTCTTAAATATAATAGTAGTATATAGAGATATAGTATTATAAATATAGATACTAATAATAAAATTATAATTAGTAAAGATAATAAGTAGCTTAGATATAGAGTTAATTATATAATATAGCTTATGGATTATCTATATAGGATAGATAACTTCTATCTTAGTAGACTAGTAGCAAGTCTCTATAAAGTATAGAAGATAACTTATAAATAGAACTAGCTATATGTTAATATAAGAAGATAGAGTTGATCTCTTACTAGAAGTAATTAGATACTTAGAAATATAGTATACTATAATATTATAGTCTCTCTTTAATATATTAAGATAAATATATAATTATTTATCTGGATTAAAATAAGAAAGTATATATAGATTAGTAAGATTATATTAGAACACTTTAAAGATATCTTGTTTATCTTTAATAGACTCAACTAGTATACAAACCAAATAATTCTTTCTAGAATATTTCTTAATAGAATTATCTTTTAATAAGATCATCTTCTACTATTAGAGTAGAGCAGCTTTTTATATATTAATATATCTAATATCAAAAGCAGCAAGTTAAGCTAAGAAAGTACTTTAACTTAGTAAGAATATAAGGAAACAATAGAATATATAGTATAGTAAACTTTAACTCAGATATACTCAGACATAATAAATCTAAGAATATTAACTTATAGACTAAGTACTTTTACTAATAGAAATATAATAAATATCTTTCTTGATTTATTTTTTAGATTAATTAATTCTATATATCTAGAGATTATATATAGATAATATAAATAGCTATTAGAATTAACTTTATCTTTCTTCTATTCTCTATTATCAATAATACTATTAAATATTTTAGAAATAGTAATTAAATTATTTATATATATCTTAGTATATATGACTATTTAGAAGTAAATCTATATTATACTAAATATATAATACTAGTAAGATATTCTATAATAGTAATATTAAAGATTTCTTAATCTTAATAACTTAGCATAGTAAGATAGTTTTAATAATCATATTATATAGACTACTAATAAAATATCTTAATAATAATTATAATAATAATAATAATAATAATAATAATAATAATATATTGATAGTAATAAATAAGCATATATATATCTTCTTAATAGAGAATAGAATAGATATTTTAAATAGCTTAAGTATTAGTATCTCTAAAGTTAATTATTACATAATTCTTATATTTATACTTACTGTCTTCGGTGGCAATATCTTTTTAAATAATGACAGAATAGCGGAGTAATATACAGAATTTAGTAAATTTTAGCTTATCTTACTTTTATAAAAATGTAAATATATTATTAATTATCTTTCTATCTTAAGAACCTGTATAATAGATATAAATGTTAGGAATTTAATCTTCTTATTTATTATATAGAGATATCTATATCTACTATTCGTTGAATATAATGATAGTTCTCATATTACTTCTATTAGACAATATCTAAGTATTATAGTTATTAATAAATTTAATTAGATACTTAACTATATTCTTTTTATTATAATTATATATAGTTATTCTATTTAGTAAAATAGTAATATTAGTAGTATTAAGAATAGTAAAAGTACTAAATCAATAGATATATTTAAGAGTAGAATATGAGTTGCTAGTTATTTCTTACATACTCTTAGATTACAGAGTATCTTTTAGTATTCTAGTATCTTTATCTATTATCCTTCTACTTCTAGTAGTCTTGATAGTTATAGTATATATATTAGTCAAATTCCTAGAGATATAATAATAGTAGTTATAATTAATTAAATTAATAATTATATTATAGCTTAGTATCTTGATATTGTCTTGATATATATAGACATATTTAGTATAGTTATAACTAATATAATATATAATAATAAATTTACTATTATATAAAGTATCTAAGTAAGTATAATAAGCTAGAATAATAGATTTAAATAATTTATTAAATACTTTAATAAGAAAGAATTTATAATATACTGAATATATATATAGTATAGTATTACTAGTAGATATAGTAGTTATAGAACTAAAGACATAATTATACTTAAAAAGAGTTTTAGATATCTTAATCCTAATAGAAATATAGATTTTTAAATATAATAGTATAATAGTATACTTTTAAGATACTATATAGATCTTAATAGAGTCTATAGATTTATATTAAATTATAAGTATAAAGCTTTAATATAAGTATATTATATATATACTATACTTAAAATTAGGAATAATTTCTTCTTAAATAGTAATATTATTTTTGATAAATAGATTAGTATATATAGAGTACTACTTGAGCTTGGACTATAATATAGATAAACAGAGATTATTTTAATTTAGAATCTAAATAAAGAAATTTACTTCAAAAATCATATATTTAACTATATAGTAGTTAGAACTCAGATCTTTAATACTTAGTATCTTATATAATAATTAAATATTAATAGTAATTAGTTTAGTAAAATCCTTACTAATAATAGTAGCTGAATAGCTAGAATTAATATATATATTATATAGTATATTAGTATAGTTAATTCTATACTAGTAGTTATAGAATATAAGTTATATAATAATACTAGATATTTAGAACTATATATTTTCTTTAATAAGAATTAAGTAGACTTACTAATATCAGAAGATACTAGTGATAATATAACTAGAGTAATTAAATACTAGATATTTCTATAGAAGAGATATCTTCATAATTAGTATATTTCTATAGAAGAGATATCTTCATAATTAGTTATTTAATATAAAACTAGTTCTATAATTATAATAGTTGTATAATAATTAGAGCTTATATCTAGAATATATTCTTAAGACTAACTAGTTATATATCTTTATTAGTATCTGTTTTAGAGCTAGAAGATAAATTAGAATCATCTTAAATAATATATACTTAACTACTATATAGAGAATAATTAAAATATGAATAATTATAGGATAGATTATAAGAAGAAGTATACTTAGTCTAATAGGATTTATAAGATATAAATACTAGATCCTACTGGCAGTAACTATATCTAATTATTAGAAGCAATGTTGATACTATATATATAGTGGAATAGTCTATTATCTTAATAGTTTTATAACTAATAATTATTACTATTCTAGAATAGATAATTCTAGGATTAATATTAAGTTATCTTAATTTTATTCTTATTAGAATAAAGTTTCTTAGTAGATTGTTACTAAGAATATAATTAATACTAGAGTAGTAGTAACTAATTTAAGATTTACTACTAGTCTCAAGAATACTATAGTCTACAATACTAGTTAGTAGTATTTATAGTATATAATATACTAGAAGATCTATTAGACGCGCAGAATGTGTTCATCTATCTATATTTATTATAGGGAATTTAGAAATAGGAATTCCAGCTGTATTACAGCTGACTATCTCTGTCTTTTTAAGTATAGTAATTAAGCTATTTCTTATTATCTTGATAGTTTTTCTTCTTATTATTATATTTATTATTTTAATATCTATTATAATTTTTTCTATAGTTCTTATATTTAGTAACTTTATCTTACTACTAAAATATTTAATACTCTAGATACTATAGAAAGATTAATAATATAGTATATTCTTTAGACTTAGATATATTAATCTATAGATTAGAATCAAGATACTTCTATATTATATATAGCTGATTATATATATTATTGATATAGACAGACTGTATATATAGTAGAATCTCCTGGATAAAAGTACTAATTAATTAGTTAATATAAATATCTTTATATAAATATATAATACTATTAAGATAGTAAATAGTATTATATATATTAGAATAGAATTAATATAGTAATTTATAGAACTAATTATTTTTAAGACTAAGAATATATATAAGATACTTCCTGTGATTAGTAACTTTAGACTAATACTACTATAATATAATATTAATAATATATATCTAAATATTTATCTTAACTATAACTTTATCTTTATAATTAATAATATCATAAAGATAGTTGATAAATAGATATATATTCTAGTAATATATCTTTTAACTATTTAGATCTTTATAATAATCTATTATTAGATTATTAGAGAAATAGTTGAACTAGAATTAGTTAATCTTATTAGTCTTCTATTAATCTAAATACTTAAAAAATTTAGATATAGAATCTCAGCTATTATACTTATTATTATACTTAGAGTTAAGAAGATCTCTATGTTAACTATAATAATATCTACTATTATTACTATAGTTACTAGTATAGCTATTTTAATATTAATTATCTAGAGAAGATAAAGAAGGATTATTATTATTATTTTTATTACTTAAACTAGGATTTCTAGAATCATTACTAAATTAATATTCATAATATCTTTTAGAATATCTATCATTATTAAGATCCTAATATACTAAATATCTTTTACTATTAACATCTTACTATACTAAGTATCTCCTATCTTTAGTATCTTAATATATTACTTTATCAGCCTCTAGATATCTTATATCTTGAGATGTTAGTAGATCTAGAAGATAATAATTAGTAGTATTATTATAAAGACTAATACATTCTTTAATATATCTAGAGACTTAATATCTTTAAAATATATATTAATATTTCTATTAGTAGTATAAATTTCAGCTTATAGTATAATAATCAAAGTTTAAAGATCTATCTATAAGAATCTTTAATAAGATATATAGAAGTTAGTAATAATAATAGGATTTATGAAATTATCTAATACTTAAATAGCTGAACTACTAGACAGTCCTTTATTAGAAATTATTTACTCTATATTTATTATTCTAAATATACTGAATATACTAGTATTATAAATCTGTATATATAGATAGTATACTATTATTAAAGATATAATAGATAATATATATATATAGAATTAAATAAGTTAAATTAGCTAAATACTTTAGAAGTAATAGAATATTCTAGATTAGTAACTAATACTATACTTATAACTAATAAGAAATATATATATTTTAGAGAATTTAATACTTTAGTTCTATATCTAATATTTAACTTATACTTATCTTACTATATATAATAGTTAGATAGATCTAAGATATAATATATAAGATATAGAAACTTAAAGATAGTCTTATTTAGAGATAAGTAGTCTATAGACCAGTCTAATAGCTACTAGAAGTCATAATTTTAAAGTAGATTAAATATTATAGCTATATATATTTAGCTTATTAGAGAGTATTATAATTAAGCTAATATATAAACTTATATTAAGTATAAAGGTAAAAGTTCTATAGCTAATAGTCTAACTCCATAAGATACTCTTACTTACTTAAAAGTAGCTTTAATATTAATAGTTTAGTAGTTTGCTCTATACTTACCTGATATATTTTTAGAGACTTAAGAGAATTATTTATAGATAGAGAGAATAGTTAAAATAATTGATAAGATAATACTACTTTCTCTTACAAAGTCTTGATAATATATAGATTAAACAACTAAACAGCTCTTATATATTATATATAGAGAGTTTAGAAGTAATAAAAAATTAAGATTTCATAAGATATAGAAATAATAAAAGGATAAAATTTAGAGTATCTCTATAATAGATAAAAGTTCCATCTTATAACGTGATCCACATGCGAGCTGGCCGCCCAAGCGAGTGGGCCGGCCTTGTATTGCATATAAACAGTCTATTTTCCAACTGTTTAAAAACTTAGCAATTTATGCTCTAATATCCCAAGTACTTGTAATTTAGCTTAGAACTTTGACTCTAAACTATCTATTAAAAATTTAGAGCTCTATAATATCTTTATTTACCAAGGTAAAATAAAATACAATGTATAATTAGATATTAAAGGTAATCTATTTATAATATTATATATAAATATCTAAAAGATCTTTAATTAGGATAGATTATTCTTTTAGTATTTCCCTATGTATTCTCTTAGTTTAAAAAGTATTTATTCATATACCTGTTAAGATATACAAGGTTAAAAGAAGGCTATTTTATATGCAATACATGGCCGGCCCACTCGCTTGGGCGGCCAGCTCGCATGTGGATTACGTTAGTCAAGATAATAAGATAGAAAGTTAAATTAGAATAAAATTAGATAGAACTATCTAGATCCGATTCTTTATTCTTAATAAGAAAGAAGATATTACAGTAGTTGTAGAGACAAAAGATACTATAATAATACTAGAGTTAAGTAGAAGATATTCAATATTAAATATAGAAAAATAAGTAACTGGCTTCTTGACTAAGATCTAAGAATATCACGTCTTAATATACTTTTGTATATTATAAAGTAGAAAGATATATAGATTATAATATTAGAAGAAAAGACATGATTCTTAGATATACTATAGAATAAAGCAGTCAAGAGCACGTGTAGAATATCCAACAAACTATAATTAATTACTATATGCGAGAAGTGATGATAAGGAAGTTGTTCATTCTACAGAGGGCCTGGGAGCCCGGAAGGTTAAGTATCCCATGCCATCGATCCAGGCAATGGGAAGGCACGGAGGCCTCTATACACCAAGCCGCAGAGGCGGCGGCCACATTTAATATTATATCTTACTATAATATTATATATTAACTAATCTATATCTATAGTTTTTTTAAACTATTTAGAATATATATCTAGTATCTTTTAAAGTATCTTATTTAACTAAATATTTATTTAAAAAAATTATATTATTCTAAGTTGATTTTTTAATCTATTATCTAAAAAGTTTATACTATATTTTAGTATCTTTTCTTTATAAAGATATTCTTTTTTTAGTCTTTTATTTCTATACTTTATAGAGATAAAGAATATATCTAACTATAGACTTAGAGATCTTAATATATATCTATATATATTATAAGAATTAAGTCTTTCTAACTTATTTTTAATAATCAATAAACTATTAAAAAGATATAATAGTATATAGAATAGCTAAGCTTTTAAGAACTTCTACTATAAGATAAAGATTTAACTTAATAGTAATTTTAAAAGTATTTATATATATAATAAAGTATTAAAAATAATATACTAAATCTTTAAGCTAGTTTAACTAGTAATTATTTTATCCCTAGTTCAACAAGAGTTATAGAGTATATTTTAGATAAAAGTTTATAAGAATAATTATAATTTATACTAATTTTAGTACCAAAAGACCTTATATTACTAGTTTAGTGGATAAGTAAAGTTGTTAATATTTCTGATGCATCGGGCACGGAAGCGGAGTGTCCCGAGACTTTTGATTACTTATTGTATATACTTTCTAACTACTTTAAGAATCATAAATAATCTAATATACTACTAGATTAGCTTGATCTTAATATCTTTGACAGCTGGGTTAGTATATCCCTGATATAGGTATAGATATATATAATTACTAGATATAAATAATATAGATTAGTACTTTCTATTATATGTCTTTTTTATTCTAATAGCTATAAACTTAAGAACTTCTTTAGTCACTGAGTGAAGTCAGGGTAGCCAGGCTTGTAATAATATAAGTAGATATGTTGAAAGATATTGTAGACAACTAATCATATGGTGTTAGAGAATACTGTATTATTATAAGGCAGGATATGCTACTCTATATTATGGTTCAGAATGATTCATATTATTATGATGATGATGATGATGATCATCATCATGATGTTGGGATGGAAGACAGAGGTCGACGGATCCGTTGCAAAGATGCCCGAAGGCGGAGACTAACGGCAGATTTCCGGCAAGGCCGAAACCACCACATGGGGAGACCTGGGACCGTGACACTATCCTAATGGTTACCTGGATTGTTCTTCACTAGGCCCATTTTGGCGCTTGTTGGGCCAGATCCACAATTATGGTTCTCTACATCTCCCACTAATTTCACCTGTAGACTACTCCGGAGTACTGTCACTCACCTGCTCTTATTTGTCATTGTTCAGATAATCGCAGTGCATGCTTTTCTCAGCGTTTCAACCGTGCTACTCTTTTTAACCATTATTACATTCATAGAATAATCAAATAAAATCCTCAACCATCTCCTTCAACCCCGTGCCCTACATAGTCCTACCACCATTCTGCACAGAGCGAGACATATACATCTCACCATAATCCGCAGGACGTGATAAGCCTCGTCCTGAAGATATCCCTGGGTTGCATTTTCCAATTCTGGATGGTGCATATCTAATACAACAATGATTTTGAATCGCAGAGACGCAGTTTCTTCTACTGACTGCAAAGATGACATCGCTTTGTCCCCAGTGTCCAAAGTACAAACCTCCAACGCTCTCCAGGTATGGCCGCTGGCATTATCCAGAGAACTGGTGAACTCACACCAGAGTATTTATCAAGGACAACTTCCATGCGCACACGCACGCACACGCGCCCACTTTAACTGATAATGTCAGGAGTAGGGTCTCCGAGCCCGTTGCCGCAGCTTTCGTGGCTGGAGGCGTGGCCGGGGCGGTGTCTAGGACTATTGTGTCGCCACTTGAACGTTTGAAAATTTTGCTGCAAATACAAAATGTTGGACGGAATGAATATAAACTCTCTATCTGGAAAGCGCTTGTGAAAATAGGCAAAGAGGAAGGCTGGAAAGGCTACTTGCGCGGAAACGGCACCAATTGCATTCGCATTGTGCCCTACTCTGCGGTCCAGTTTGGAAGCTACAATTTTTACAAGAAAGTCAGTGAGTTTGGATTTTCTTGCTCAAGGATCAGCATTCAACTCCTAGAACCCCTTTAGCTTTTTGACAAACCGTGTTGATGAGACAACGTGAGGCTGACTCGACTGGACTACTATCAAACATGCAGTTCGCAGAGCCGTCCCCCAATACAGAATTGTCCCCGATTAAGCGTCTCATCTGCGGAGGTGCTGCAGGGGTCACATCCGTGACCGTGACGTATCCCTTGGATATCGTCAGAACTCGACTCTCCATACAGTCGGCGTCGTTTGCCGCACTAGGCCAGCGAGGGTCAGGGGAATCCCTACCGGGCATGCTGACAACCATTATCATGATATATAAGAACGAAGGTGGTATAGTAGCATTATATCGGGGTATAATTCCTACCGTGGCTGGTGTCGCCCCATACGTAAGGATGCAACATCATACAGATTCAAATTGAAGCCATCAAACTAACAAATGCAGGTTGGCCTTAATTTCATGACTTACGAATCAGTCCGCACGTATCTCACGCCAGAAGGTGAAGCAACACCCAGTCCCTTTCGTAAATTACTAGCCGGCGCTATTTCCGGGGCAGTGGCTCAGACATGCACATATCCATTGTAAGGACCCACATGATTTTGATTTTCATACACATGCTTTCATGTACTCACCGGTGTTTATCTAGTGATGTCCTTCGACGGCGATTCCAAATAAACACAATGTCTGGTATGGGATATAGGTACACATCTGTTGTAGACGCTGTGAAAGTGATCATGGCAAAGGAGGGTATACGCGGTTTATTCAAGGGAATTGTGCCAAATTTACTCAAGGTGGCCCCGAGCATGGCCAGCAGCTGGCTCAGCTTTGAGCTGACAAGGGACTTTCTTGTCAGTTTAGGTGAGACATAAAAACAGTCCACATCGTTTTACAGTCCTGCTGTAGACATTGAAGTGTCGACAAGCCAGTATCATGATCATTAAGGGAACGATATACTCCGGCCGATTTTGAGGGTCATATATTCCGGTTGTATTCTCTAAGTACCAGGCTACGCGCATGTTATTTGTATAGTTCCTAGTGCTCAGAAGAAAGGACGTCAAGAGGATCGAAGGTGATGTGAATGACTTGGAACAACTCCAAGGTCAAAGAATAATTTAGTACTATACGGAGACATGAAATGTAAGCTAAACCGGGGATCTTAGAACAAGCTAGTACGGAGTACTACGGAAAATATCTAATTACAAAATCGATGTGAAGTGGGGGGGCCCCGTATTGACTGGTAAGGTAAGAAGAGTGTTCCGGTCCTTCTGCTTCGGTCGTAAGGCGGCACGGCAGCAACCTGCACCTGATGTGGAATAGACTAGGGCATAACCCGCACACACCGTACATCTGAAAATCGTAGACTAGAAATCTGAGCAGTTTCACTTAACCTACGGGTGCGATAGCCAGCTAACCTACAGGTGTCCGATTAACATCAGCAGCCATGGGTATGTCTTAAGAACTGCAGATTGTCCATGCTATCCACCGTGCGGAAATCATGTTTTGATATGATTACGACGAGCATTGCTATTGCGAGTCTTTCGCAATGAACAAATCACTGATCGTATACAATAGGTATCGACTTGGATCGCCACCATGTGCGCAGCACCCACCGCAAGGCGCCAAAGAGCGAGAATGTTTACTTGCAGGTTTTGGTGAAGCTCTATCGGTTCCTCGCCCGTATGCCACCGGTTCTACCTTGAGTCTCAGAAATTGCGAAACGAATGAAGACTGATGATTTTACTTTGAATCAGGTCGCACGGAATCGAACTTCAACAAGGTCGTGCTCCGACGCCTCTTCATGTCTCGGATCAACCGCCCCCCTGTTTCGATCTCGCGCATTGTCTCCAACATCACCGAGTCCCACAAGGGAAAGACAATCGTCGTGATCGGAACTGTCACCGACGACAACCGCGTCCTGACTGTTCCCAAGCTGTCGATTGCCGCTCTCCGCTTCACCGCAACCGCTCGGGCCAGAATCGAGAAGGCTGGTGGTGAAACGCTTACTCTCGATCAGCTCGCTCTGCGTGCCCCTACTGGAGCCAACACTCTGCTCCTTCGCGGACCTAAGAATGCCAGAGAGGCTGTGAAGCACTTCGGCTTTGGTCCCCATAGCCACAAGGCATGTTACATCGATTCGCTCTGTTGGACTGGGCTAATACTAGGCAGAAACCATATGTGCGCAGCAAGGGCCGTAAATTCGAGCGGGCTCGTGGTCGGAGAAGGTCTCGCGGTTTCAAGGTTTAAGGCAGCGGTCGCACACGTACTTTCTTCGTTCAATAGATAATCCTCTATTCAGCGGGACCATCTAGCGCAGCCTTGGCCGCGGTGATATTTGAAGTATGGCTGTCGCTCGATATTCACTTCCTGCAGCAGGCAGTCTGCTATCACGAATCTTCAGGTAGAGATGATTGGTCAAATGAAAATAAAAAAGGATCTAAATTGTTCAATTGTAATACAACTATCTCTTCTTCATAGTGGCAGGGCTTTGTGCTTATACCTTTTACCACACCCAGTTTCGGAGTAATCCCCGGCCTTCTGACCTTGACCCCGGATCTTATACTTGTAGATGGTGAGTCCATCCAAGCCAACGGGTCCTCGTGAGTGAATCTTGTTCGTGCTGATGCCGACCTCTGTGCCAAAACCATAACGCATTCCATCTGCAAACCTCGTCGAAGCGTTCCAGAAAACTCCTGCGCTGTCAACGCTATTCATGAAATGTTCAGCAGCACTTGCTGACTTCGTGATGATGATGTCAGTGTGTTTTGACGAGTGGTTGTTGATATGAACAATTGCTGCGTCAAGGCTTTTCTCGCTTTGATTGTCACTGGGTATTGTCTTTACAGCCAAAACAAGGTCTAAGAACTCAGTCTTGTAGTCGCATGCGACGGCTTCGGAGATCAAGGATCGCTGCGCATCGACAACCCTGCTGGCCAATGCCTCCTTTGAAGGTGGATCACAACGAAGTGCGACCCCCTTGGCGAAAAGCGCCTCGGCAACGGCTGGGAAGACAGTCTGAAGTACATCTTCATGGACAAGTAATGTTTCTAGAGAGTTGCACGCTGCTGGATAATTGGTCTTCGAGTCCACAATGACCTGAACAGCCATATCAAGGTCGGCATCGGCGTGTATATAGGCTGAACATAGTCCATCAGCGTGTCCCAAAACAGGGATTTTTGTGTTATCCTGGACAAATCGAACGAGTTCTTTGGAACCCCGAGGAATTACTAAGTCAATGTGACTGTCCTGGGCAAGCAGAGAAGAGACAGCCTCCCGAGTCTCAACCAACTGAATTGAACCTTTTGGGACCCGAGTGCTCGCGATAGCCTTCGAAATCACCTTGGAAATCGTGATGAAAGACTCAGTCGATTCTTTGCCACCTTATTGTTGTCAGTTTCCCAAGTGTAGACGCGGGATGAAAAGACCAACCTTTCAAGATAGCAGCATTGCCAGATTTGATTGAAAGGGCTGCAATGTTTGCGATAACCTCGGGGCGAGCCTCAAAAATGATCAGCAGTACACCGATGGGGCAGCTGACTTTTTCGAGCGTGAGATCATCATCCAACAATGTCCTCATGGTCACAATTCCAACTTTCCAACATTAGTATTCTATCATAACCACAAAAACGTGAACTATCGGATGCTGAAAGAGAATCACCTGGGTCATCTAAATCTTTGACACTTAAAATACCCTGCAGCATGTCCTCAAACTTCCCTGGCCGTGACAAGTCCAGTCTTTTGAGAACACTTCCATTGAGTACACCGGCTTCGACTGCTCGCTCAGCGGCTGCAACATCTCTTGAGTTGGCTTCCAGTATTTCGACTCGACTATTTGCAATAGCTTCATGGAGCGCTGACAGAGCATCATTTCTCGCTGCTCCGGGTAGAGTGGCAAGAAGGCGAGAAGCCATAGACGCCGTCTTGGCAATCTCCGCGGCAGACGAGTCGGTGAGTGACATTTTCACCAGAATATGAAGATTTGCGCTCGATAGATTAGAAACACGAAAGTCGTCTGCCGGGTAGGCTGGTTGAAACGTAATAATCCGAGGCGTAACAGAAACCAGTTAGCCTGGTGAGTCATTATTAACACTAGGCATGGAAGGGATCCCAGTCATGCTGCTAACCAAAAAAGCGCTGTGGACACCTGGGAAGCTAGGTTGGTGGGGTCATTACCCCATACATTACTAGTAGGTGTAAACCGAATCAGTCGAGAAAGCATTGCGCATCTCAAAACACATTCGATGACATCTAGAACGAAATCTACTTACCTTATCTGTAAGTGCATACCAAATGACACTTCTACAAGTCCCTGGTCTCTCCCCTTGCGCATCGTAGTATTACTTGGTTGCTGCTGGGCTAACGCAGTTCCTAACACAGCACCGTTTGTAGCTAGTTCGCACTGCTACTCTACCTAGCCCGTGCTGCTCTGGTGCCTTTTCCATTGTTATAATTACCAGCCAGGTCTCATAGTACCCCTTACCTTGGGCTATCATCGAACTCCAGAGCTTGACGATAATCGGACGTTGAAGACGTGTCTGTCCAGTTTGGAAGCTTGCATAGCACGTGGACCGATAGCAATGGCAGAGAGCATCCAACAAATTCTTACCCTGTCATCCGAGCTGCACAATTCGAGGTCTCTATCAAAGAATGATGAAGACCGCCACATATATGAATTGGTTGCTGTTCTGAGGCGATCAAGTCACAGCATTCTCGGTGAGATCAGCTTGACTGTAAGCCCTGTTTTGCATTTTCTTGCATTTGCTGGGATTTTAAGCCTCTCTCAAGTCCTGTACTAACCCGGTACGTGCCTGAGCGCAGAATCTGAGTGCGAGTGAGCACACTCTGCCCTTCTTATTCGCCTTGTTGTATCAGGTCGACCTGGTACGAAATAGAACAGGAAGTAGTTTGCCGAACGACATCGAACCCGGTGGCTGGCTCTGGCTGCGAGCTGTACAGTTCCTGGGTAGTTTCAATGGATCTCAGGTATCTCATGTTGGCCGTGAATGGTGTCAACTTGTTCAGGTCTTTCTATTTGTAGCTGAAAATACCTCGAAGGTGAGAATCTCTGTTTTCACAGTTTCATTTGTCTATGTATGACACTCAACATTTGCCAGCCATTTCTTGCAGTCCGTGTGTTAAGCAAGGCAATCCTTCGGATGAACCGAACCCAGAATACCTTTGACCCGCTACACCCAGGCTTTCTCCGACTATGCCTTCTGTCGAAGGCTTATAGATACGCAATCCCCATACTTGATAGGCAGATATCCATATTGCCCTCCAGCTCCGAGTCTCGTGATCGCAGTGATTACATGCCAGGATCTGACGATCATGCTGCTGACCGCAAGTCAGAGGCCACCAGCACTCATGGACAACTGACGCACAAGGATGTTGCGCAATACTATCTCTATGGTGCAATGATATATATGGCACTTAAAGAGTGGGACAAGGCCGAGCACTGGCTGATCATTGTCATCTCGCTTCCTGTCGCTAACTCGGTGAGCAAGATTATGGTTGAAGCATTCAAAAAATGGGTGGTTGTGAGCTTACTCAAGCACGGCAAGGTAAGATCACAATGGCGATTGCATGAACATATCCCTGATTAGAACATGCCTGTTGACTGCGTCAGATCGCTACTCCTCCAAGAATCATATCTTCGCATGTAATGAAGATATACCAGACTGTAGCAAAGCCTTATTTATCTCTCGCAGATGCATTCGAAAAGTGTGACGAGCAGAGACTACACAACGAGGTAAAATTGGGGAGGCCTGTTTGGCGTGCTGTGGGTCTATACACAATCATACCAGCACTCTTGAATTGTGCTAACACATAACAGGATCTGAATCTGGGTCTTGTTGACCAACTTTTCGAGGCTTATAATTTATCCCTTGTACTCAAACTTGGCAGAGCATTCTCGGCTTTGACAACGGCGAATGTTGCAGAGAAGGCCTCGTCATCTCTGAATTCGGCAATCAGGGTTGAGAGCTATGTTGCATCTCTGGCAATGTCAGGAGTATTGGAGGCGAGATTACTACATCTGAGAGTCGGTCAGAATTCTACCATGTTGCGTTTCCCTGCGTCGATGAGATCTTGTGCGGCTAGGCGGAATGGGTTGCGGGTTGAGCTGATGGACAGAGGCCAGGCACTTGAAGTGTTATCTCGTGGTATACGGGAATGTAACACCGACTTGGGCATGGGCCATGAGAGTATAGATCTCGTTATGAAGCGCCAAGGGTGGTCTGCGATAATGAAAAATGGCATGACCAAAGTTAATGCGGATGATGTTGTTCTGGGGGTGGAAGAAGATATTATGGGTGATGTGAGCTAGACCATAATAACAGTAGTGATAACACAGTCCTAAGCCCACCTATACTTGATCCAGTCTGAAGTGATGAAGAGCGATTCAACTATCTCAGGAAATGTGGTAGAAGCTCACAGCTGCAATGAGATATGAACTTGATTGTCTATACTCCGTAAGGACAGGAATGGTAAAAATAGTACACTGTATGATGCATGAATACTGTTTGTTTGCAAAGCAGTAGTCTTGCAACTCTTTATAAGAGCCTGATCATGGGTGACAGATAATGATTGGCTACACCAGAAGGCAGTTTCTAGGTTCTGATTACCTACTCTGAGTGTTAGTAATGTGAGTTCTATATTTAGATGTTTAATAGCTACTACAGAGGTGCGTACTAAAAGGCTTCACAGTGTAGTGGATATGCTGGATGCAGAGATGTTATGATGTTATGATAATATGAACTTGTTGATTCTTCCCTCTTACTTCTGAGTATTCTCTATTAAGTATAGATATAGGTGTATAATATATAGATGTGCAGTTGATATACTGGGCTCGAGGCCTTGTCTAGAGGCCAAGGTATCAAGATATCATGACCATATAAAGTTGTTTATTCATCTGTCTCCTCCTAAGCTAGATTCTTAAGTACAGAGGATATTCCAAAAAGAACTTAGATAGAAGAAAGCAGAGGTTATAGTAAGATAGAAGAAAGAAGAAATGTAACATGATATTCATAAGTAGTCTTTTTATCTTGATGTGATAGGATCTACTTGTCAGGGTAGGAAGCCTGTCGACTAGGTAAGGAATCAACCACTAAACACCATGGATTCGTCTAGTAATAATAAAGATAGTCTATATCTATAGAATAGACTGATTCTTAAGGGATTAGTAGTCTTTTATAGAGAAATTAGTGTCTTATAGATATTGGGAAGATATAGATTTACTATTAATAATCTTATAACTTCTATAATTACTATAGTATAATATTCTAATAATTCTACTTCTAATAATTAAATTATTCTATTATAAATAGTATACTTCTTTATAAGAGTAAGCTACCTAACTTAAATATTAGGAATAATCTTATATATTCTAACTAAAAATAGTAGAGATCTAGTAATCAAAGATAAAGAACTTATAGAATAGATAATATTTATAGAGTTATATATCTTTTTTATATAGATTTACTATTATTTAGTTATAATTATATAGATAGATCTATTCAAAAAAAGTATAAATAAAAAAATCTCTTATATTATTCTTCTCTCTTTTTTTTATTCTGTTTACTTTTTATATTATTTATTTATTAGTTAATACTTTAAGTATTTTATTATATTTATTTTATATTCTATCTATTAGTATATTATATTTCTTATATTAGACTTTTAATATATTAGATAGAATAGTTAATATATATTACTACTACTATATATCTACAACTATTAAATTATACTTTATATATAAGATAGTATTTAAGTCTTGAAAATTATAGTATATATACTATCTCTAGATCTTATTAAAGTATTTTAAATCTAAAGATATAGATAAATAAGAGATTTTTATAATTAATTATATTTTAAATAAAGAAGAATCTATTCTCTAATAGTATTATAACTACTAGAATAGCTGTAAAGTAGTAGAGATTTATAAATTCTCTTAGATATATTTTAACTAATATACTTAGATATCTACTAATATACTTAAGAATATAGCTAAATTTATAGAACTTCTAGACTAGTATTATAGTTATTTTTTCTAAAAAGCTAAAGAAAAGAAGAGTAAAGTTTCTATTAATTTTGATAGAGAAGTTCTTTATATAGTAAATAAGTATATAATATATCTAGATAAGATCTTTATATAAATAGTAGCTATATACTATTAATATTCCAACTTATTAGTAATATAGAAATCTATATATAAAGATAGATTATTTAATAATTAATATACTAATATTTTACTAGTAGTATATAGTCAACTATAAGATTATTAGAGTAGATATTAAAAAACTTTATGTTATATCTAAAAATCTTAGCTTTATTTTTTAGATCTTAATTGAATATTCATTTTAGACAAGTACTTTAGTTATAGTTAAACTTTAATTTAAAGATAAGTAGTTAAATAATATTCTTAACTAAATATTCAAAGATTTTCTAGTAACTTTAGATAATTTATAGAGATAGTTTAGATTCTATTTATAATTAAACTAATATTACATTATGGTAAGATACAATTATTAATATATATAAATATAATCTATTATTAGATATAATAGTATTTAAAATATATTTATTAGTATATTAGTAAAATATTCTATACTTTAATTAATTATTAGTATATAAGTCTACTTTTTATTAGCTAATAAGTAGTATTTCATTAATTTTTCTTCAACTATTATAGTCTCTAGTATATCTTCTAATGAATTTTAATACTTTTTTACATATTTACTATATTCTTAGTAAAAATCTACTAAATATACTTACTTAGCTAATATTTCTACTTAATTACACAGTAATCTTTATTATTATAGTATTAGTAGTCTTCAACTTCTTTAACTTTCTATTTATTCTTATTATTTAGCTCTAGTATTAAAAGTAATTCTTTATGATTTTTTTAGTATTCTGCAGCTTTAGTAGAAGAATATAGAATATATTGTAAATTTATCTATATTTTTTAGATTAACATAAGTAATATACTTAGATTCTGATATATTTAAGAATCTGAAAGAATTCTATAAACTTTAGAACTAGTTTTCTTAATCTTTTAGATTATAGATTTTTTATTTATATCTTAACTAGATTTCTTTTATTAAAGTATAATAATTTTCTATATTTATTATAGTATTTCTTTTATTTTTTTATAGTTATTTACTATATCTTCTATAACTATTCTTTTATTTCTTAGAGTCTATTAATTCTATCTTGTAAGGAATAAACAATAGGACTTATTCAAAACAATAGCCGTTCGGCCAGCATTACCCACAGTCGCTAATTCATCCCTTGAATTAGGACTATGGACCTATTAGCCCTACTGGTACGCCCACGTGATACTTTTCTTCCCTAAAGGAAAGTTATAGAGCTCTCAGTCCTTATAATCTTCCTCCTTCTTACAGTCCTTGTGGCACGTGACTTACAGCTATTATAGTATATAACTAATCAGAAGTCTAGTAGAAATAGATCTTATTCTATTCTCTAATTAGCTAATACCCTTATAGTAGGCCTTATACTAGCCCAATCCAGTAACTCTTAGGGCTGACACCAGCTATGGTGGTAGTCCAAACCTACTTTGGAAGTTAATTATAATAGTAGTATATTCAGTAGTCTGACCAGGCCCTAACCCATTTCAGCAGGCGAGACTAGGGTTTAATCCTAAAATCTAATTAGATCTAATTACTAAGGGAGAGGATCTATCTAGTCTTATTAAGAGTATAAGCCCTTGCAGGTTTAAATCCTTAACCAGGGTGACTGTGGGTAAACTTATAAGGAATAAATAATAGGACTTATTTAAAATAATAGCTGTTCGGCCAGCATTACCCACAGTCGCTAATTCATCCCTTGAATTAGGACTATGGACCTATTGGCCCTACTGGTACGCCCACATGATACTTTTCTTCCCTAAAGGGAAGTTGTAGGGCTCTCAGCCCTTACATATCTTATATAGCTAAGATCTTCTTTTATTAGAAATTATTTTTAATTCAAATATAAAAGCCTAGAGAATAGCTATATAAAATATAATAAGATAATTATCTAGTAATTATATTATAATTAAATTAGATAGTCTATAGCTTATGGATGAATCTATTTTAAATTAATCAAAGTAATAGTATACATAGTATTCTAGTATCTAAATTATTCTTTCTGTTTAGTTATTAGTTTAAGAATAACATACTATTAAAAGCTTTAAGATAATATAACTAATATAGTATAAAAATAGCTTAGTTAGCTATTTTTATATTAGTTTAACAATTAGAATTCTTTGAGCTTAATACTATATAAGTATTAAATCTAGAGCAATTCTATATATTTTAAAATTCAAATTAGGATTTATCTTTAACTAAATATCTAATTATTAAAGATAATATATTTATAAAATATTTTTAAATTAGAATTAAAAGCTTTTCTTATAGAATAGATTTAACTTAAATCTATATTAATATTCTAGATTTATCTACTAGATTAATCCTTTCTATTCTATATTTAATAATAAAATCATAATAAGTTAGAAATATAAGCTATTAAGCTTATCTTCTATTAATTTTAATCTAATATATAAATATTCATAAGTTAAAATAGTTTAATAAGATTTTAATAGTCTAAGAAGTATCTTTAAGATATTATCTTTATTATTTAAATAAATAAATAATAGTAAATAGCTCTTAATCTAAAGTACTATAGTTTACTTTAGTACTAGAGAACTTATAGAATTAAAAAGTAATTAAATAAAATATGCTTTTATTATTAGACTAGAATAGAATTCTATTTATTTCTTCTTTAAAATTGTTATTTTCTTAATATTAGAATTTTATAGAATTAAAATATATTAAAAGAAGTAATTATTAAAAGATAGTAATTGAATAATAAAAAATAATCTTTTTATAAATATTTAGATAAATTTATTCTAATTTTATCTAGTAACTATTCTATAAAGTAAGAAAATAAGAAATAATATAATATAAGAATAGTTTCTAATAAATTATTAATAAAAGTTATAGAATTCTAAAATAACTTAAATATTAGTAATTCTTAGATATTAGCTATAAAATAATATTATTTATATACTAAGAATCTACAGAGATATCTTTATTATAAATAATATATTCTGGAAATTTAATATAAGATTAATAAAAGAAATACTTTGAAAGTTTAATATAGAGTTTAGTTTCTTAAAGGTTTTTAAATGCTTAGTAAATATATTTTATATATAAGTTTTTATCTAGTAAAAAAATAGAATATTATTTAGATATACTATAGAAAAGTTATTAAGAAGTCTTTAAAGTATAATATATATATAATTTTAGAAGATTATTAGAATATTAA